GTTGCTGATCTTGATAATATCAAAAAGCGGTGCTAGTTTGGCGATGTATGGGCGGCTCAAGGCGCCAGTCGGATCTCCCACAACATCGCGCTGGTAGTAAAACGCTTCCTGGACAGCACGCATGTATTCTCTTTCGAACATAGATTCGTACTGTTGATGAAGCATCCTGTGAGTATCGGCTGCTACCTTGGCAATTGCTGGTACTGTAGATGTCTCCAAGGAGACGAGGACACCGGCACACTCTTTGGGGTGCACTAGACCTTGACGGTTGATGCTTGCTATCAATTCAACCGCCGTCAAAGCATACGAATCCTGCCTTGATTGCGCAACTTTAAGCATGTTGTGCAGGAAGTGCTGTGCAATCAATGCCGCAGCGCCATCATTGTCGCTGGCTTTGAGTGACCCTCCCAACCTTGTTGCTTTCTCTTGTTCTGCAATCTCGGCAGCAGCCACCACAGACTTTTCTGCCTTGCCTTCGTGCATTGCAAAGAAATCAGCAAAGGACCTGAGTACTATGTTCTGCAGACTTGGGTTGTCTTCCTTGAAGACGCCCGAGAGGACGTGTCTCGGGCCCTCGCGACCAAACTGCGCTGGCCAAGACTGACAGACGGATCCCAGACTCTCCAGCGACATTACCCTTAGCTCAAGCGGTTGCTTAGGAAGGGCAAATGATATGATGGAGTCCACCATCAAGCCAGCCACCGATCCTCCGCTCCAAGATGGAAAGGCAGCTCTAAAATGAGGCTCGTATTTTTCGAGATCACAGTGCCTTCCAACGCAGCCAGCGATCCGAATATAGCTCTTAGCTCTAGCCAACACTGCACTGTTGGTGCTATCCGAAAGGTCGATGTTCTTGTAGTGCTGTATCGGTTTCAACACCGAGATCGTGAGCTTCACGAGCCGATCGGTATTATTCAAAACGCCATTGATGGTCCAAAGACAAGCCATAACCTCGTTGAGTTCGGAGCGAGCAAGCTTGGCAACGCTCTTGAACAGATCGTTCTGCACCTCTTTCAAAAGAGTGTTATGAGCCGATGACAGGTACGGCAGCACACAACGATAAATGACGACCACAGACCGGAATAGGAATAGATCCTCCGCCGTAGCCAGATGTCCAATGTACGGATGAAGCGTCTCCAACTGATCGGGACGGAACAGCTTCGCATTGGCTTTCGCGAACACGGTCATTGTCTGCAGCAGCGCCTGCTGAAAGTCTTTGCCAGATTCATTGTCTTCGACAAGTCTTTCGAACATGGTAGAGACCATAGCTTTACACACCTTGAAATTAAGAGGTGCAGACTTTGAAGTGTCGGCCATGATCTTCCTCAGACAATTACCCAAGGTTTCAAGCGCGGTGTCGCTGCGTTGAACAAGATCAACGATCAGAGTGACGCGCTCACCAAGACCCACCTTGAGCATGGAGTTGTCTTGCGCAGAGTCTATCAGGTCATGGAAGGGCGCAAGCCATATCTCCTCAAATGTCTGGCGAGCCAAGGTGGCAACGCTTTCTTCATGATCACATGTCCGCTGCAAGAAGCTGTCCACAATAGCTAGCTTCAACTCAATGCGCGATGTCTTCAAATAGACGTCCTTCAGCAGACCGATGCAGCGCTTTCGCACACCTGCAGTCGGATCGGCAGCACAGGCCAGAATGCTCCGGCAGCCTTCTTCCTCAAGCTTCGGCTTCAGGACCATGCATTTGGCGATCAAAGACAATGCAGAATCGCGCACCATCGGAGATGCGTCTGTCGTACAGCGCAGAATCACACGCATGACTGAGGTATCTCTGTCGAGAAGACTGGGGTCCTTTTCAAGCATGTAGATAACACTCTTCAGACTGCGACTTCGGACCTTAGCCTGATCACTGGCGATCGAGTTGAGTAGAACTTTCAAAATTGTATCGAATGCCTTACAGAATCCCGAGTTTAGGACTGTCATCATGTAAGCAAATCGACCATGTGCTGTAGGAATGTTGTCAAAGTGTCTAGGAAAGTCAGCGATACGCCCTCGTCAAATGCGTGCTTTTTATGAGTCCCTCACCGATGAGTTTCGAGCCACCGCGGGTCAGACATCGACCTCATTAGGAGTTCCACCAGACCTTCATTTGCATCATCATTTGCGGGATCATCTTTGTCTTCCGAGTTGTAGTATACTGAACAAAAGGTTTTGGCCCATTGCGCCAAATAGTATCCCCGAGCACTTGTGAGCTGCCAATTGTCTGAGCTGCGGTCCTGGATAAGATATTCAAGAGTCATCCGATAAGGACCCTCGGCCACGACGAGATCCTGCGGGTGTAAAGCGCGATTCGAATAGTCCTCGAACATCTGCCTCAAATCATCGGTGAGGCCACTATCCGCTTCTTCCATAGCTGGAAGCAAATGCTGGGCAGTCGCTATCAGGTCAGAGATTGCAGAACCCATCCAACCCAGAAGCTCAAGCGCCATGCTCTTGGCGGTCGCGGAGCTCTTATCAAGGTCAGCGATGCCAACCATATGAGAAGCCATAATTCGGAGAAGGAGTTCCGCAGCCGGCCAATCTGTAGAGCCCAGGACGCTAATCAAGTCCTCAGTGAAAAGGTCGAAGATGTTCCGATATGGTTGGTCCCCAGTCTTGGTAGAAGTCATTGCCCGTTGTACGATAAATTTCACGATATATTGAGCACTTCGGACGGCGTTATCATATAAGCGATTGACTTTCGTTGCAAGACGCTCCAGAGACACATCCGAATCCTGATCATCATCTTCCTGACCGCCTCCTGAACGCTCCTCGTCTTCGTCCTCGTCCTCGTCGTTATCAGTCGATCCTGGCAGCTTCCGCTTCATCCTGGAAGACTTGGAGCTGGGAACGTCTAAAGCGGTCGTTTGCACCAGCTGCATCACCAATGCAGTGAGAAGCTGAATATTCTTGCCATCTGCAAGCTTGAACTGCCTGGCACTCTGTCGCGTGGAAGGTAGTTTCTCTAGAGAAACCAATATCTCATCTAGAATATACGGCCGCTGGGCAGGATACTTCGAGAATATCTTTGCTAGAACGTCCATTGCTCCCCGCCTGACCGACTCATACTTCTGATAGCCGACAGTGGAGTCTTTTTCAGTATGAGCATTCTCCACGAAGATCAGTTTGGCTGCGAAGTACTCCGCTGCGTTGACTGTCCCTTCCGACACTTCAATGCGAGCGAGGAAATCGGCGAAAAGGGCAAGGACTTTCTTGCTGTGTTGAATGAGCGCGCCGAGCACCCGTTTCTGCGATGAAAAGAATTCAAAGTACTTCGCATCTTTGCCCCCAGGACGTGCTTGAACGGCAGGAATAACGCAGTGATCGAAAAGCTGATTGAAGACGTTGGGGATTGCTTCGATTAGGTCTTCTGGGCATAGGTCCCGCTCCGTTTGAGAACCAGACATGGTCTGCAGCAAAGTTCCCACCGCGGACAATGCATTGTACATATCATCCAGCTTTCTAAGAAAGTCCTGAGTGTCTGACTCACTTGACGGATCGTCTAGTCTCAAATCAAGCGATTGCGCAGCAATGATGGGCTTTTCGCAGAGCTTCTGGGCCCTGTTCAAATATTCTGAAGGAATGTCCTGAAGCCGATTGAAGCTAATGACCTTCTTAATAGCCTTTTGCAGCCGCGTATGAGTATCTGATGACAGAACTAGGCCGTTCACGTCCAGCGCGTGAGCTGCGACGAACATCGAGCTGGACTGCTCAGTAGTCCCCTCTGACAATGTCCCCGGATCAAGCTGATCCTCTGCCTCAAATATCTCCTGGAACAGGTCCTGGAGCTTGACAAGAGCCGCATCCGCCTCTTCTTTCTGGTCTTTCAACCGGATTGATCCAATATTATCACCACCATCTGCATTGAGTTTGCGCCTCTTTGAGGCAGTATGATTGTCGGTATGAGGTGGCAGCGGTTTCACGGGAATGACTACCGAGAGCTGAGTGGCTTGAGAAGGCTGCCGATTCTGGGGAGGAGGGGTTGGTTTATTTGTGAGGGGTGTCTTTTCTTTCCGGGACGTGGGCTTTTGCGAGAACCTCATGTCGTCCGAGGTTGGATCTGCTGACTGTCAGTACGAGCGCGTATTGCGATTGAGTATATGCTTGGGCTCCATACATCTGAATGCAATGTCCGTGGCGTCCAGCATCATTTGAGCAAAGGGACTAAGTTTGTTGTTGCTGGAAACATGGTCCGGAACGGTAGTTGATGGTGAGGGCTGAACATTTCCCATGCCAGGTGGCAGTTTGAATTTGCTATGAAGTCCAGTGAGTCTTTGTTGTGTATGCCAAGGGTCATCTTCAGCTCACAATTCCGTTAGCTGGTCACCATCCAACAATTGCTGCAGGTACTCCCGAGATGTCTCCAGGCGGCTCGACTCATCGCGTCCCGATCGGATCTCGTTGTTCAGGTCGCTCAGAGCAGTACGACCAGACTGAATAATATGATTGATAGAGGTGGTACTAGGGGGTCGCCCAACGTCAGGACGTAGGATGCAGTCTAAGGAGAGACGGATAACTATCAGTTTGAGCTCCTTTGTCGCTCAGATGCTATATCACACTGACCTAACCCAAATATCGGCGCGCTAGACATGGGAGAATACTGCAGAGCTTCGTTCACATACAGAGGCCGATTCCAAGCCCGAGCTTGCCCATTCGGGCCCAGAGGCTGCGCCTGTGGATGGCCATTGATGACGACCTGAACGGCCGGGTGCCAATTTTGAGCCATAGCAGCGGTATACCCGAGTGGGAAATAGGGGTCGGTGTGACAGGAGGGTTAGAACAGCGGAGGAAGACATGCTCTATCCAGAGACATGGCTATCTGTCAAGGAAATGAGGGATCATTTCAAAAAAGGAAGATGGGTTTACTTCAACAGATCGCAATACAAACTGATGCAATAATTAATGCCAGGCACGGTTCTCATGCCGCTGCCGCTGCTGACCGCCCGGGACTAATGTAGTTGCTGGCCTTGGAAAGTGGTCCGTGCAGTGGAAATCTTTCCGGAGGGCCGCTTTCCCTCGCAGAAAAAAAAGTTGGGAGGCTCACAGATCGATACAGCTAACGAAGAAATTACAACCTCGAACCCCATACTCGACCTATATCCAATATGTCGGCCATCGGATCCCTTGTTTTCTGCACTGACTGTGGCTCCTTGCTGGATGGCTCAATTGGAGACCCGAGCAAGATTCTGATCTGCGATATTTGCGGAGCTAAGAACAAAGGTAGAACGGTTCCCCCAAGTTAAGGAAATATAAAACATACCATGTTACTGACGCAGCTCTCTTGTGGATCAGACACCGTTCCCCAGACTATCGTGTCCGAATCCAAGCCCAGTGCTTTCCCCTCATCTCTCAGGGCAAAGCGATCTGCCGTCCAGACTTTGACCGCGGAGGACAGAAAGACGGAAGCCCTTGCCCAGCACACATGCGCCCAGTGTGGTAGAAAGGAAATGTACTTCACGACAGTACAATTGCGCAGCGCCGACGAAGGAAGTACAGTTTTCTACACGTGTGTTTGTGGTTACAAGTAAGCCCAATTCCTTGCTCGCGCATTCTGAATAGTCCCGGATCATTGACCACTTTCTACAGGGAGACGACCAACAACTAAAATGCGAAAATCATGACGTCTATTTTTTTGGCCCTTATTTGTACATCTATGAGGCACGAAAGCAACTATTTACCGACACCGTAATATCATTGTTCGCATAATTCATCAAATCAAGCAGACACCGCAGCAGGGGCAGCCGAGTCTGGCACCAGGGCGTATTCGACTTCTCCGCTCTTCTCGAATTCCGCCATATCGAGCGCCACGATGATGCTGTCTCTAACCACCTGCTCCGGATCGTTCAAGAACTTCTTCAATGTATCCTCGACACCCTCCACATCGCCCAAGCTGCCAAGGGCTTCCGCGGCTTCGTGTCGCACCATACCCATCTCTGATTGATCGCTCAGGCACTCCGTAAGGCAAGGCACGGAGGCAGGGTGACACAGTTGGCCAAAGACGAAAGCGACCTCGTGACGGAAAAGAGCGGAGGGATCCTTGAGACCCTTGGCCAGCGCATCGACAGCCTCGACGGCCGTGGGCAAGTCCGGAGGCGAGGCAAGGTCGCGCAGTGCGAACATGGCGCGATATCTCTGGAACAGAGGAAGTTTCGTGTCGAGCAGGGTCTTCTCCAATTCGGGAATGGAAGGTTGCTCGGTAGCCATGGGAAGTGGCGGAGCAGGGTCGATGGAAGTGAAGTCACTATTTGTTTCTCAACGATTAGCGCGCTCAATACATCTATGAAGAATCGATAGACTGTGAAATAGACTACGGAATTGCGTAGACGTACCTAGGCTTCAACTTCTCGGCCTTTCTCTCCTCGGAATTCTCCCAGATAATGCGATCCACCGCGATGTCGCACGTCTCGCGGATGACATCGAGCTCCTTCTCATTGTCTCTCAGAGACTTCAAGATCTCCAGGCTGTCCTCATAGCCGAGAGCACCGAGAGCTTCTGCAGCCTCATGGCGACACATGGCATCTTCTTCCGTGTCCTTCAGGACCTGCTGGAGGTACGAGACGGCGTCGGGGTTCCGGGTCTGACCGAGGCAGTAGGCAAGCTCATGCTTGAGGAGGGCGGACTTGGACGAAAAGCCAGCAGCGATGGCCTGAATAGCAGGCAGCGTCTTCTCGGTGGGAGGTTGCAGGCAAGCGAGGTACTTGAGGGAGAAAAGGGCGCGGAACCGGCGAGCGAGGGGCTCGGACTCGGAGGTAAGAACCTTGCGCAAAGTGAGGACGGTCTCGTCGACACCCTCCAGATTATCGTTGGCAGCAGAAGACATGATGATTATGAATTAAAGAACGTATTCGAGAAGGCTGAAAAGAGGGGGGAGGGGGTATAGTTGAAGGAGAATAGAGAGGGCAGAGAGATAGTCGGCCATGAAAGATGGACAATTTTTCGATCTTATCACTACCCGATAATAAATTTTAGGTGGGGGGGCGGGGTGCCAGGGCCGTGGGCTAGGCGTCTTTTGCTTTAAAATCTCTCCAAGCCACCACCACCACCACGATCCGGATCGAAACGTGCCGGTAGGCACCATCCTTCAGCTGCAGCGGGACAGATCTTATCTCTGCTGAAATGCCCCAGGAAAGCTCAATGAGGTGACATATCGCTAGATTGAGATGTGACAATGGACCCATGTGTAGGCAGACAATGTTCATGCCAAATATCGGCACAAAATATAAAGCTCGATGCTCGCACATACATACGGCAGATGCAAAATGTTTCGCAGTTGCGCTAGTGCCTTCCCACGCAAAACGCCGTATTGTACTGTTTTTTATACTACAGCCGTGTATGTAAATTGGCTAGAGTCGTACTAATTAGCTACGGTGGATTTTTCTCTTCAACCTGACATGATATCTTCCATCTCATACATATACCTTTAAGAGGAACTCGTGTGCGGCTAAGATACTCATGTGCTGGTATCTATTTTGGGGATCTAGTCATACTGCTGTTACGTATTAAGATCAATGCAATGCAGTAACTCGCAATAAAGCACTGGGGGTACAAAGGAATTGTAGCACGAGCAGAGACAAAAATGGTAAGCTGGGGCATGAACCAGCATACGGAGAAAAAAGTTTTCAGACCGAGATGCTGATGTGACCCAAGTGAGCCTATAGCATCTGGTTGTTCAAACCTCCGTAGCATATGTACCATGAGGGAACCACTGAAAAGGCTGTATCTTAGCCTGGTCCATGAGTAGGTGCCATGTCAATCACCGCCTTCTAGAAGCCACCTCTAGTGATGCAAACACCTTTTCGGTGACGAAAACAAGCCATGGACTTGTAAGTGTGAGGAGGTTGAAGTGTTGAAAACAATGTGATTAACCTCCAAGCATGATTCAGAACTAGAACAAAAGCCTGCACTTATGTACACGAGACGCGAAGAATAACTCAATTTATTTGGTCTTGATGTGCTTGAGCTTCTTCGGCTCGTGGAGGAAGTTGTTGGAGTACGACTTGGGAACGAACCGGCGCTCATTGGGCTCCTGGACGAAGTACTCGTAACCTTGCTTCTGCGCAAACAGGATGGCGTCCTCCTTGGTCTTGAACTTGAGGTTGGTACCCTGCATGCAGTCGGCGGAAGATTGCCAGCCCATCAGAGGGTTCTCCCACCGGTGACCCTTCTGCAAGATATCCCAATCCATTCTCCAGTGGTGACCGTGCCAGGTTCCAGACTGAGTAGCGGGCTTCGTAGGGCGGTAGATCCTGTATCCAATTAGTGCGCTGGAGCACGGCGACCGACGACCTTACTCACCGGACGGTACGAGCCTGCAGATCGGTGGGAGCGCCGGACAGAACAGCAGCGGCGACGGTGTCACCAGGCTCGCTGCCATCCATGACACGCTTGGGCACGGGGGAGAATTGCCTGGATTGTCGTCAGTTGACGCAAGTTCCCCAGATCGCCACGGAAGAGATCTCACGAAGTAGCGTGGTCAATGGTGGCCTCGTAATCGGGCTGGTGACGGGCCATTGCCTGCGAAGGACTCTCCTTGCGGATCAATGTGCTGTCTTTGTGAGGGATGGTCGGGGCATCAGCAGGGCTGGTCTGGACGGAGCCGTCGGCGGTCGACACAAAACGGGCATTGACAGGAGCGGCGAGCCTGCCAGCGCGGAGGCAGGCGAACCTTCCTACTCTCGCAAGCGACATGATGGGTATATGTGTGTTTGTGGTCTGTGGAGGGAACAGGTGGAGGAGCAGCTGCGGGAGGACAATTGCAAGGTGAGGTATGCGGCGAGTGCCGGTTGTTCAGACAAATCCTAATTAGGACTAGCGCGATAATGAGGCTCCCTGCGTTAGGAACCGCTCATCCGACAACCCGCTTTCTGTTGGCACTTCTCTCTTCTCCCCGTCAGTATTCATTGTCCTAGTTAACCTGCTAGCGTCAAGGTAAGTCGACTATTCCGAGACCGACCCATTGTTTATCTTACGTCTCCTGGTATGAATTGAACTTTTTTACTGATGCGACCTTCGGATAGATCCTTCAAGATGAGCTACATCGCCCGCCGCGGTCTTTCGACCCTGATCCCTCCCAAGGTAAGACCCGACTCTAGCACAGTCTGAAAACAACATGATACCTGGGCAAATTGAATGCTAATAGTTGCTTAGATCGCTTCCCCTAACGTGAGAACCCCTACTGTCGTGTTGCCTGCCTTCCTTCTGAGACGCAGCCTCCGGAAGCAATCTCTTTCTGCTCTGGTCACCTCGGCTGGACAACCCGCACACCCACCCCTTCCCTATCACCCCAGCTAACAACTTGAAAAGGCGATCGGTGCTGCCAAGGATGCTGCCCGCATGGACCGTGTTGTGAACTTCTACGCCAGACTTCCTCGCGGTCCCGCCCCTGAGGTCAAGGCCACTGGCCTCATTGGACGCTACCAGGCTCGCTACTTCACCGGAAAGAACCAGTCTGCTACTCGTTAGTGAAGACTCACCCTCTGTTGTACGATACACCAAACTGACGCCGCATGGCATATAGCCTTCATCCACGCCATTGCCGGTATCCTTCTCCTCGGCTACAGCATGGAGTACTACTTCCACCTCCGTATGTTTCCTAAACTCATTGACAGTGTGCGATACAAGAGCGCTAATCCAGAGCAGGTCACCACAAGAACCACCCCCACTAAACGCCAGGTGTTTGATTTACCGGACGGGCGAGGATTTGTGTATATACCACACCCTCTACAATGAAGACAATGTAGAACATCACCTGGATCATTGTACCATCTTTCAATTGAGAATCGTTTCTAGCAACATGTCCTACCCCTGCGTTCTAACAAATTGTACCACCCCACTGTTTACAGTCTTTGAAGTTTCCCGGGCAGACAGCTTAGGTTCTCTGCTTGATAGACATTAAACAGGTTGACGAGGAGTCCTATGCTATGTGACACAGTGTGCGTAATCAATTCCAGAATGCCCGTACAACTCGAGGGTTTGGACCGGCGGGACTTCCTGTTCATCTTTCCAGGCCTTCAAGATGCCGTACTGAAGCGTACAAGCCAATGGGATAGGGCATCAGTTATGCGCTTCAGAGACCAAACGATATGGTTTAGCATTGTATACAGACTTTTCTCATATGCTAGTTTACCATTCTTCGCAGCTTTACCATGCTTTCTGGTTATTAAGCCAGCAGTGCCCACGTGAGATTACTGAATGGATAAACAACTTCCTCCCATGGCTTAGCGATTATCTCGGCTTTTCAACACCCCACAGCCTCCTGCCCATTTTGACTGCTCTTGCCGTGACAGCTGCCCGGACCTGCATGCCCGACAAGCCTCCGTGAGTGTAACATCGCATCATCGCGCTTGGCCCGAAGGTATTTGCAATGATGTGCAGAGATGTTGGCTCGGGGTCGAGGACTTTACGAATGTGGCTGAGAACCAGCCTCACTTACCTCTTGCATGGTGCGGCTTATCATTCCATTCGTTTTTCGGAGACTTGTCGATAACAGAGTAGATTAGGATAGGTACTTCCGTCGGAGAGTTGAGCACGAATCAGGTCAGAGGAGCATGGTAGCTAGTATACTGTTGGAGCCAACAGGATGGTCTCATAGCCACGATGTCATCAGGAACCGATTGAAGGGACGGGACGGGAAGGGAAGGGAAGGGACCTCGGAAGGAGGGAACGGCGGAACGACCTGGACGGCTGCACAGCCACAGGTGGCTTGACATCATTGCCGGTGCGGGTTCCATCCCAGCTGACATGAATCATGTCGGACCAAGAGACTAGGAAAATCTGCCTTGGGTTGCAACACCCCTTGCTAGCGCCATTGAAGCAAACAATCGGTGCCTTGTCATGAGGCTCGTGGGAGCCGTGCGAATCTGGAAGAAAGGAAAGCGGAGAAGCAAAGGCCGAGGCGCAAAGGGGAAAGAGAAAAACAAAAAAAAAAAAAAAAAAAAAAACGAAAAGAAAAGAGGAGGCTCTTGAACACCATTTTCCTTTTTCATTGCTCGTGCAGGTCGAAGGTCCAAGAGAAAAAAAGGCTTACCTGTCAAAGCTTGCTGCTGTCATCACACTTGCAACAAGCTGTTAGGTATGACAGAAGGTTTTGGGTTCTCCGTTTGCTCCACTACTTTATCCTGACTTACGTTATGACTGTAAGCATCTATGATGTCCTGGGGGTTGATTCTAGGTCTACGCTTGATTGCTGGTAATTGTCATTTCTGGCCAGAGGTACGGAGTACTATGCAGCAGTTATCAGTGGCGCAGCAGTGTCTAAAGTACTAACTAGTACGGAGTAGTGTCACAGCACGATGGGGCGTCGGACACTCCAGCTGAAAGAGTCCGAGACTTGTGACCTTCTTCTCAACCTTCCAGCCTTTCTCAATCAGTTGACTTGAGTTCCAAGGTTTTCTGGACCCAGGTACGACAGCAAGCGGTGCTTAGGCTCAGGGCACTCTGTGAATTCGATCTCGGATCCTGAACGCCTCACTTTCTGATAGGAGCTTTTGCACAGTCCCGGATATGTTGTCTGGGCCTTCAGTGTAAGCATTTGGATTGTACTCTGCCTCTTTGATTGGGTACTACAAGTGTGCCGCACGGTGCTTCTTTGATTTCCGATCAGAGCTCATGCAAAGTATGGTGTAATTGTAACACCGCCCATCTCCTGCAACCTGCATTTGCCCGGGTATTACAAGGATCTAGATATTGTTGCACTGCTCTTAGGGACTACAATGGCTGTCTCCAACTATACGCCAAGCTCACTAATTAGAAACCAAGTGTGTTTAAACAATTCATCATTTAATTTTTCTGAATGGATAGCTTAACTCTGCACCAAGGTCCGCATGTGTATCTGGCGACGATCAACCATTAGTGTAAGCATTACAAAGCCGATTACTTCTTTTCTTTTTTTCATGCTTTTTTATCTTTTAGAAACGTCTAGGCAACGTTTGAGCAGGGGTACGAATGTCTGCCTGTTAATCTGCATATTGCTCTCCTCAAATGGTCACCAGCGGGCGTCGCTGCGGGCAAGGCTCCGAGATGGCCCTGGGCTAAAGGACTGAGATTAATTGTCCGCTTGAAATTAGCCACGCAACGTCATGGCATTTCGATTTTTCTTTAAGGAATAATCTACATACCGCTATTTGGTGGGAGAGAAAAGGGTTGAGTTCGAATGATATGATACCTGACACGGCCTGCTAGAAACAGTGATGCCTTATATATGATATGCTATCCTCCCGAGCTTCTATTATCTTTTGAGATCCTTGGTCTATTCTGACTGATTGGAACTTTGTGTGCTCAATATAGCATTATTCCCATTTGAGTCGGCTACCTTTGTCTTACTATACTCCTGACCTTTCGGTGCTTGTGAAGAGCCAGGTACCGCTTATTTTCATCAATATAAGCCTTGCTCCATCTCCCATTCAGATCTTTTCCAAACTTCCCGTCTCACAGGGTGCCTCATTGACCTTCCTAACTTAGATTCACTAGTCTGTCTTGCGCCAACAGCCTTGTGTGTGGACATGAACGACGATCCGAGCAATAACGATGCGGCCCATATACGTTTCACTTATCCTGATTACCAACATCATCTAGACCATGGTCAACTTATTCCTACTGGACCCTCTGGACCATCTGGAATACATTCATTAGTTTGTTATCTCAAGTAGAACCTTTCTACCCCTACTGAATCTAACTTCAGTGTTCAGCAGCAAAGCCCCTCATCGATTCCCTCTCTCGGGTCTCCTTCGATCAGTATTAGTCCCACGGAAGATGCCATTCGTCACGGGTTGGACATTCCTCTCCTCTACGACCACTCCATCAATCCTCTAGCTAGTGATCAACCTTTGTTTGACAACGCGAACCCTTTAACAAATACGGACATTGAAGATACTGGGTTCGATCCGCTATACTTTGCGCCTGCGCCTGCGCCTCAGGCATCGAGCGAAGTATATCGGGATGAGTTCAAGCTTGCCGTGGAAAATCTCATCCACATAGTTCAGAACAACGTCTTGCAACGCCAGATCCCTCAGCTACATGATGCCAAAGACTTCCTGCAAGTTATCTGGCACAGACTGAACGGCATGATTCAGCAACAAATTGACATATTCGAGAGATTGGCAGATACCGGTCCAAGAACAAGCAAATTCTGCTGCTGGCTTTGCCCTAGTGGACAGCGTAAGTTCTACAACACGCGGGCCTCCTTCAGACGTCATGTTGCCTATGAGCATGCCCCACGGTCTATCTATCGTTGTCTCGATGACAAGTGCCTTTGGACGACGAGGAGGAAGGACAAGGTGCATTCGCACTTGAGACACAATCACGGATTCCAATGGCGGGCCACTCGCGAGCAAATCAACATAGTTGAGACTAAGCTGCCCCCACCTCGTGTCTGCCCGCTGTGTCAGCATGTTGTTAACTCCTGGGATGAGTACTTTAAGTGCGTGTGTGGGCATTGTCAGGTGGCAGGAGCTGGCTCGGCAAGCACCAGCGCTAGCCAGAGTCGCCGGAACAGCGACGACCGTGGACAGGGCAGTGGTGGCTCTGGCTTCAATAATTTCCAATTCCCTGGCAGTGGGCTTGGGGCGAACAATGGCCAGTCCCCCTCTGGGAACGGCACACATACGGGCTCGACCTTTTTCAGCACGGGGTATCACTATAACCAGCATACACATCAAGCGACACATGGTGTAAGCGGCCCCGCGTCAGCGACTCTGACGGGCCCAAACTCCGGTGTGGTCTCTGATTATGGGCCATCACATCTTGGAGAAGTTGAAGGGCCGCGTTCCGAAGAAAAGACATGTGCCGGACCAACAAGTCTAACAAGTCAGCATTGGTCGATGACGAATGGTACCAATCCAGCCACATGTGGCCAACACAATGAGGGAACTGTCTCCGAGATCCATAAGTCGCACACCAACATCTCTGGGCCTGAGAAACATACAAGAAGACCCCACTCACAAGAATCGCTACAGAAAAGATTTCTCGCTAGAAGTCAAGGAGAGCTCCACCAAGAGCCAAAGAAGGTGCAGCCCGAGAAGAAGTGCACCACCTGTGGACATGTCTTTGACAATTGCTCTCGATGTCGACGATCAAAAGCGCTTTCCGGAAAATGTCATCAATGTGCAGATCGGACCTGCAACAATGCAGGTCTCCAAAAAGCAGAGATCTGGCGGGGCCGTGACCGGGCTCCTCGTGTGAATAGACAGGATGCCCTGACACACTCCGTCACCGATACGACTTGGTCACTGCCATCGACAGATATTGGGAATGATCACTCTGATCCTCCTCGCGCTACGGGTGCTTTTAGTATTCCCGAAGAATGCCGACCTTATGAAGTCTCCTCGCTGCACCGTAAGCTCACGTTTCCTCCATTTCACAGCCGAACCAAGCTAGATAGCGAGAGCCACAGTCCTTGCAACACAAGATCGCGGTCCGCTCTAGTGCCAATGCTTTCAATTGATACCAATGTGGTGATTTCGACGAAAGACCCTTCCGGGAAAGAACCCGCAGTTATCTGGCACGCCCCGGCAAGATGCCTACCAGCAAAGGTGCAAGCTCAATCGACACCCGAAGCACAGACTAGACTACATCAGTGCCGCGCAGGCCAAGTAACAAGGTCTTTCGCGGTTTTCAGTCAAAGGCTGGTATCTTTCGATCAAGAGAAGACTGAATTTTGCAACTCGGACTCATGCACGCCACATGAGAAGACACTATCAATCAGTCATCTGGACCACGCGGTGCTGCGTGTGATGTACAGCTCTGTGTCTGGAATGATCCTCTATGGTATGTTTCTTATACACCTAGCCTTTCACGCGTATAGACCATGAAGCGGCTCATGTGCTCACTGTTCCACAGAAAGAGAGAGCGAGCAAGGCACCCTGATCGAATCGATGGATGTGGATGTCACTCGTCGATCCTTGGGATGGCCGTGCAAGCCGTCTACACAGAAGACACGTCTTCCTCAATTGGCCATGAAACGAGCTGATAAGAAGAAAGGCACTTCAATGTTGCGAGCACGGCTCCACATAGTTGTCGAACTTCTTGCACTCCACGCGATGGCCATCAAACAACGGTCCAAGAGGAAGTGTTTGACTGACGGTACTCATACCGCTAAAGACGTCGCTCGTTCAATTTCATGCACTTCACCTGGGCTAGCAAGCCCGCATGATGTGGTCTCCCCGCTGTTCGACGCTGTCGTGACGTTGGACACTTTTGCGATGGTGAATATCGTATCCTCTTGGATCGCAACTATCGTCCCCGATACTGAAGGGCAGGTGGAATTGATGCTGTTAATGTGGTCGTATATCTATATCATTCTCAACGGTAGCCCGATCACTCTTCGGCTACAGAGCTAACATTGACAACAATACCTGCCAATGCTGCTTCGTGATGATTCAGAAAGGGTTATGATTGGTATCGTCATGCGCCGCTTCTGTTTCACCTGCATCGATCCGCTTGTCGTACTATGCATGTTTATTATGTTCCACCACTAATATACCTTTGCAGATAGTGATAGTTCTCTCTCATCTTCATGTAACAAATCGAAAATCCTGAACGGATACTAGTCAAAACATAATACCTAGAAGGAAGAGTAGATTCACCCCTTACTGGGTGGATGGACGGGCCTGCGGGGATAGGAGTTAACCGGCAATCTCCACCCGAGAGAGATGACATAACCATATCCGAGGATCCGCCCTATCGATAAGCGTCGGTCAGCAATGAGCAAACAACATCCCCCTCTTTCTCTCCAGAAGCATGGGGCAAAGCGCGGCCTGCCCTCAAAAAGCACTAGACCAACTTGCCGGCCAATTGGAACCTCGTGGCTAGTCTTGCTCTGCAGTGACGGATTACCCGTTCGATTGGCAGGGTGTCTGCTATGACCCTTGCTGAATTCACACTGTTTGCACCACCACCCTCTCACCCGTGTGGCTGATAATGAGTTCATCTGGCTTGCCCCCCGCTGCTGGCGGCGGCCCTCCGGGATCTTCTCCTCCCTCTCACCAAGGAGCATCGGATTCAGGGTGGCATCCGGCTCGGGAATGGCTTGAGGAAGACGAAGAAGACGACGAGTATGAGGATATGGACTATGAGCCCAATGAAACTGACGAAAGAGACGACGACGATTCCGATATTGAGCCGTATGACGACGAAGATAACGACGACGACCTAGACCACATCGATATCGATGGTGCTAATCTCAGTACTGTTCCCCCCTCCCCTCCAAGTCTTTTAGTCTGATTTGTGTGCCAGCTCATTGAGCTTGGGAATGTATTGTTTTGGAGTATACGACTGACTTGTTCTTTCTTATCTGCCTCGTTGCATCTTAGATCCTGAATTACATCTAGGAAATATAGAGATTGAATTCGCCATGGACGAGCCAGGCCAGAACGGGAATGGTGGAGAGACTCAGAGGGTACGACAGAATAGAGGTAACACGATCTGATCTGCGGCTCATTGATTCGTCGAACTCATGGTTACAGTATCTGCAGCTCGGTTGCTGAATTTGTTGGCGTCCAACGGCTTGCGGCACATCTTGCACTACAACGGGCTGCATGAGACCTCTCCCGGGGAGGAGGAAGATGACGACTACGAGTTTGGCTTCTTTGGCTACCGTCGGCGAGCACGGCGATCCGGCCAAAGCAAATTCCCCAAGGTTCCCAGCGACGAGGGCCAGGATTTGATGAGATCGGGCGACTTTGGACGCAATACAAACTACGTTGATCGACGCCAGCGACGAAACCAGGCGCTTGCTTCGAAGATCATGTGGCGGGAACTCGGGGTAAACTTGACGGGAACAAATAGGCAGGATATCCGATCGATGGCGCAGGTTCGTGTTCCTTCCTGGATACCATACAAGACATTCTGTTTGCATGCTAACCTTCGGCGTACAGGGGCTGATTCCCAGCTCAGTGGCGGACAAAGTCATCCATTTCGACTCTCGCTGCTACTCAGGCCAGTTTTCCGACGACGGCAACTTCTTCTTCTGCTGTGCCCAGGATTTCAAAGTGCGCATGTACGACACTTCCAACCCCTTCAACTGGAAGTACTACAAGACTGTGACGTATCCATTCGGGCAATGGACTATCACCGACGCGAGCCTGAGCCCGGACAACAAGTTCCTGGCATATACGTCGATTCGGAATCTCGTTTGCCTGGCGCCCACGGATCCGGCTGATGAGTCTGAGCCGGCTGTCCTGGATCTATCCTCGATACCCGGAAGACGAAGGATGCGCTTTGGTGGGAATTCTCACTTTGGTGTAAGCTTGAATGACACTGCCCGTTGATGAGATCGTATATACTCAAATTGCCATAGATCTGGTCGATTCGATTCTCAGGCGACGGTCGCGAGATCGTGGCTGGCACTTCCGATCAATCCGTCATTGTCTATGACCTTGAAACACGACAGTCGGTGTTGCGGTTACAGAATCACGACGATGATGTGAATGCCGTTTGCTTTGGTGACCAGTCTTCGCCCCATATCATTTATTCCGGATCCGATGACACGACTTTGCGGGTTTGGGACAGACGCTCGATGGGCGACGGGCGCGAAGCTGGTGTATTTATGGGACATACGGAAGGATTGACATACGTTGACAGCAAGGGGGACGGACGATACGTACTGTCGAACGGCAAGGACCAGACGATGAAGCTCTGGGATCTGCGAAAAATGATGACCACGGCGAAGTTTGACTCGATCGATCTCAACACATTTACCACGGGATTCGACTACCGGTTTGAATCCTACCCCGATGACTACTACGAACCTCATCCTCACGATTGTTCGGTTGTCACCTACCGTGGTCATCGGGTCCTCAAAACTCTGATCCGGTGTCATTTCTCGCCGCCCAACAGCACCAACTCCCGATACGTATATAGCGGAAGCGAGGACGGCAAGGTGTACGTGTATAACATGGATGCGACGCTGGCGGGGACGATTGACGTAGGGCAAGCCACTCACAATTCGCGCCCGCTGGACCCCGACATGTCGACTGCTGCATATGAGATACGTAGCAGCCGGAGCGATGTGCTGTGGAAGACATGCGTGCGGGACGCGAGCTGGCATCCGAGCTGCCCAGCTGTGGCGGGTAAGTTCCAAGTTCATGCATTGATGTCTATGACCGGTTGGGAACCAAGCTAACCGTGCCTTTCCAGCGACCTCGTGGAATGGCTGGGGTCTGTCCACTGGGACTTGCACCTTGCACACCTGGAACGATGGCGCCACATCCGACGAAGGGACCCCTCCATTAGCACGCAATTACGACAGCAAGTTGAATCCCGTGCCTGAGTATGATGATTTCAAGCAGACGATGGCAGCGATGTCTCGCAGTCGGCCTGTTCACAGATCTCCGCTGGATGACGAACTCGCGTACGAATTATGGTGAATTATCTGGAGGTATATTATACAGAAGCAGGCGAGCGCACTCCGCGAGTCTGAAGTTGCTCACTAAAAGGCGTTGTTTCATCTGATTTTGGAGCGCGTGAGATTGTTTTGGATTTTAGTGCGCTTCGACACGTAATCCACGAGTCCCAGATAGAATGCTCTTAGCAGTGATAGTCCAGCTTGCTACTATATATTATATTGACCAGATTGATGCGATGTGATGCCAGGAATGTATTTTTTGAGCTCTGCACCAGTGTTAGACGATAACAAATTGAAATTGAAATTGAAAAAAAAAAAAAAAAAAAAAAACCAGAAATCTAGCAACAGAGATAGTTTCCAAAGCCAACGCGATCGACAGATGTGAGGACCCGAGGACTCAAGGACTCGAGGAGGGAGTCGAGTCTGGGGAGTGTGTGCCACAGTGTGGTCTGTCCGCGGGCGGAGTTATACATCTGCCGCTCCGGGGCTGGGAAAGCTCCACTTCTGCGCCTTCGAGACCGCCCGCAGTTCCAACCAAGCAACAAGCCGAGCAACAAGCAAGCACAGCAGTAGCAGTAGCAGCAGCAGCAGCAGCCTTCCTTCCCTCTCTTTCCTCTCTCTCTCCGAGTCTCCCTCCTCCCTCCTCCCTCCTACTTCGTACTTCTTCCATCTATCGCGCGCGCTCCACCTGCAACCCTTCTTTGGACACGTCTCAAGGACTCTTCTTCTTCTCTTGCCTTTTTCCATTGTCCCTCAGTTCTTTCCCCCTCTTGAATCGCCCCCCCCCTTCTTCTTTCTTTTATCTCGCTCTCTCGCCACCCTGTGACTACCCTATCAACCTGGTGCGCAACAACACCAAGGGACCACCACCTTTGTGCTAGGCTCACGCGCAGTTTGTTTCGGGCTTCCTCCTGACTCACATCATCGTGTTCAGGCAGATTGACTCCAGATCTCACAGCGTGTTACTAACACAAGTATCAGCTCGAACCTTGTCTTTTGTATGCTCTCATCGGAACAGTGGAACCTGTTCATTGATAGCTCAAGGTTGAGCTACATTCTGTGGTAGCAGCACGTCTCGGCGCCGCATCTGTGGAAATAAACCTCACACCCTCCTTCTTCATTCCCCCTCGTCCTCTTCATTTCTCGCTTTTCTCAGTTTTTGTTGTTCCATTTGGACACAAGAGGTTCTCTCTTATCGCACACACTACCTGTACTTGCAATCACTCGGAAGGCAAAGAAGCACTACCTCTGTTTATCAGACACAAATCAACTTCCACTCGGACGTTGGTGAAAAGACCTGTGTGTTCTCTTTGAAGCTGCCTTTGCTTCACAATTGTACGTATTATCGAGCCTTTTTTTCTTCTTGTTTCCTGTCGGACATCATTGCCGCCCTGCACCCCCCGTGTTGTTTTTAAGAGTGTTGAAAACATGGATCTTCTTTCTGGGCGACAAATGACCCAGCTGCCGCCGCGGCTTCTCCAGTATTCGCACCGTCCGATCACCGTCCGATCAATATTCCTTTTGCTAATTGACCTGGTGTGTCTGCAGACATGTATTTTCACTTGATTCCCCGAAACTGAAAGCCAAGAAGAAAGAGAAAAAAAACAGAAACTGTATCTTCCCTCACGCAAACCAAATCAAGAAACTGCCTTGAGAGCAAGAAGACCGAGTCATAACTAAATCACAATGGCCACTGAGGATGATAACTTCGACATTGACATCTATGGCGACGGCGGGAGCTACAATGCTAACGACCAGGGCGATGACATCAAGCACGAGGACACGGAGCTCATTCTAGACGCGTCGGACGCCACGCAGAATAACAGCGTCGCTCAGGGCGATGGCTCATCGGAAGGAACCCTGAAGCAGGAAAGTGAAGGGGCTGCGCCCAGCAGCACCGAGAGCGTAGCACATGGAACAGCCGCCCCCCAACAGACCCACGCTCCGGTTCCCCAGCAAGGTGTGAAGCGCAAGGAACACGATGATCGTCCGACGGATCCCGATGCGACACCTGCTCTTCTCATCTCGGATCTGTACTGGTGGACCACGGACGATGACATTCGCGGCTGGGTGGCTCAGGCCGGCAGCGAGGATGAGTTGAAGGACGTGACTTTCAGCGAGCACAAGGTGAACGGTAAAAGCAAAGGGTAGGCTTGCCTCTATGACTAGGTCCTTGGGGATGGCACTGATACTGATCCTCTTCTAGACAAGCATTCGTTGAGTTCACGACCCTCCAGGCGGCCACTGCCGTGAAACACAAGATCGAGTCGTTCGCCACGTCGGGGCAGGCCGGACGCAAGCACATGGTCGTCTATACCAGTCCCCAGCCCAACCCTTTCCGCACATTGCCCAAGGATGCGCCCATGCGCAAGGACAACCAGTCGCGATCGATGTCCGGCGGCTTCAACTCTTCCAACCAAAACATGAACTTCGGGATGAACAACATGGGTGGTGGCTTCCGAGGCGGTCGGGGCGGGTTCAACAACCGGGGTGGCATGAACAACATGAACAGCTTTGGCGGGAACCGCAACTTCCAGGGTCCCATGGGTGGCTTCCAGCAGCCGATGGTCGGAGGCTTCCAGCAGAACAACCCGATGGGGATGCAGAACTTTGGGTTCAACAACCGCGGTGGGATGATGGGTGGTGCCATGCGTGGCGGCCCCGGTGGCATGCGCGGCCGGGGCGGCGGCATGGCGGGTGCCAACATGATGGGTATGCCGGCCATGAATCCTATGGGCGCCATGGGGATGAACCCGATGTCCGGGGGAATGAATCCGATGATGGGCGGAATGGGTGGAAATATGGGTATGCAGGGTATGTCTCGAAGTTCTTGACTGGTGTGCTTGCGTAACCTTATTGACCGGGTGAATTCTTACTAGGACAAGGCGGTTTCCAAGGCCCCAATCCAGCATTCAACCAGGGCTTCTTCCCCAACGCTCAAGGCGGCGATGGGTCATGGAATCCCCACGGCGCCAAGCGCAGCCGACAGGAGTGATATCCTTACCGTTGGCCTTTCATTTCCCTCTCAACCGGGCTTCTTTTTTCTAACTGCTTCATGTCCGTGGCCCTGGGTGGTCACGGGCCTTTGATCACTGGTAGTATTTATGTATCACATGTGCTTTCTTACTTTCGTCCACGTCGGGGTTCATGTTTTCTGGCTTGCTGCAAACGGTTCATATGGGGAAATTGGCATTTATTTCTTTGCTTGTGTTTCTGTTGTTCATGAGGGCATCGTGTTTACGGTGTTTTAGACCAATCAAAGGGAATCTTGTATCATCTATTTGTCTGTTGTCTGTTGTCTGTTGTCTGTTGTCTGGTTAGATGACCAAGCTGTAATGAGCAATGGAATGGGTACTACTGTGTATGTATGTGGTGTTGTTGTGTACAGAAGATTGACCGCGGACAGGATAAACAAAGGCCCGGGGAAGTGATTGAAGTCAAGATGCCGAGTTGAAGCTAAACTAGATTAATCCCACCCGCCCGCCTTCTTATCGGTTCTGTCCGTCCCTCACCTCGTCGTCATCTCTTCTCCCTTCTCCGATCCCCACCAAAAAGCTGCAACTTGCTGGTCTGGTCCATGAAGACAGCGGCACGCGACACTCGTTGACTTTCAGCCGACCGAACAATTTTGACCGAGTAGTGTCTTGTCAGTATTTTCCGGGTCCCGACCTCATACAAACAATCGCCAGCGTTTCCCCCGCGGTCCTTGGAATCTCCCCTCCGCTCCCCGCCCACCTGACACCAGCCCGGAGTCCGCCCAGCCCACGCCCACGTCCACGTCCACGCACAAGCGCACGCACACTCGCTTTGTTTCATTGTCGTTGTTATCATTTGCGACAAATCTCCACGAGATACAATCCATCCACCATGCAGGCTGTTCCCGAATCCCGTCAACAAACCTTCGACGAGATCTACGGACCTCCGGAGAATTTCCTGGAGATTGAGGTACGCTTTGCTGCCATCGAGACACAAGAAAGAACACCATGCCATACCTCCCAAAGCCTACTACATTCATTCACCACCTATTCAATCCAATCTCAATTCCAACTAATCCCCAACCCATCCACAGGTCCGGAACCCCCAAACCCACGGCACCTCGCGCAACATGTACACCTCGTACGAGATCGTGTGCCGCACCAACATCCCCGCCTTCAAGCTCAAGCACTCGGTCGTGCGCCGCCGCTACTCCGACTTCGAGTACTTCCGCGACATCCTGGAGCGCGAGAGCACGCGCGTCACCATCCCCCCGCTGCCGGGGAAGGTGTTCACGAACCGGTTCAGCGACGACGTGATCGAGCACCGGCGCGAGGGGCTGCAGCGGTTCCTGCAGATCGTGGCCGGCCATCCGCTGCTGCAGACGGGGAGTAAGGTGCTGGCGAGTTTTGTGCAGGGTATGTATTTTCGTATATGGTTAAGGATGGTGGGGTTGTGGGTGTGAAACTGGTTTGCTGATTTGTGGGAACAGATCCGAATTGGGATCGGAATGCGTGGTAGAGTTGAGCTGAGTTGTGGGGGTGGGTGGGTTGGGAGCTTTTTGTCGGTTTGCCGTGTGCTCTTGTGGTGTGGTCTCGTACGTGCCGCAGGAAGAACAGCTATTGATGCTGTCGGGTATATCATGGTTCCGCTCTCCCGGCATACACTCAGCCTGCCCCTTCAGCACACCTTCCAGCTCAATCCCGTCGATAGCAGGGACTTCGGAAATTTCCTCGACATCTATATACCTCCGCTTCGACCTTCGATATTCGACATCTGAAATCCCCTTTGTTCCCATATAGTGTATCTTCCACCCCGGTTGGGACCAAGTCCGGCGTGCATCCCCTATCCATCGCAGAGAGGACCAAAACTCATCTCGCATCCCACATTTTGTTTTTGTTTGTGTGGATTTCCTGCATGTGCTGATTGTTCCATATGTATCTCAGCGACGACTCTGTTTTTAGCTTATTTGATTTACGATGAGTTGTTTATACCGTTTGAATATGGAGCTGTATGCAGCCTGAATGAACTTGTATGAGCACACCCCGGAAGCAGATAGGTATATCAAAGCCGGTTTACCTCAGAAAATCGAATATCAGCAACAACCATAACACAAACCCCCCACAATTCAACCACCTCAATACCCCCCCTCCCCCTCCCCCTCTTTTCCCTCCTCATTCCCAGCCAACTGCACCACAATCCCCACCCCCGAACTACTCCCCACCCTCTCCGCCCCGGCCTCCACCATCGCCCTCCAGTCCCCCGCCCCCCTCACCCCACCACTAGCCTTGACCCTCGTCCCCGTCCCCATCCTCCCCGCAACCCACCGCATCACCCGCACATCCTCCACCCTCGCCCCGGGCCCATCAAACCCCGTACTCGTCTTGATATAATCCGCCCCCGCCAGACAAGCAACCACACTCCCCGCCACCACCTCGTCCGTCCCCGCCAGCCGCCCCGTCTCCAGGATGACCTTCAGCACCACGTCCGCCGGGATCGCCGTCCGCACGGCCCGGATGTCCGCGTGCACGGCCGTGTACTCCCCCGCCTGCAGGAGGGGCCGGTTCAGCACCATGTCCAGCTCGGTGGCGCCGGCGGCGACGGCGGAGGCCGCTTCGTGCGTCTTGGAAGCCGTGGGGTCCGTGCCGTGCGGGAAGGAGATTACGCAGGCTATGCCGGGGGTGGGCGTGGGCGTGGGCTTGTCGGGGGTGGTTTGGGGGGAGCTGCTGCTGGACAGGTTCTGCACGGCGCGGGCGACGTAGGGCAGCCGCACGCAGACGGTGGCGAAGTGGTGGCGTTGGGCTTCGGTGCAGAGGGTGTCGATTTGCGTGGGGCTGGCGGTCGGGGAGAGTTGGGTGTGGTCGATTGTGAGGCTGGGGTGCGCGGGGAGCGGGTAGGTTGGGAAGCTGGTGGTGGTGGTGGTGGTGGTGGTGGATTGGAGCTGTTGGAGGGTTGTGGTGAAGAGGGCTTTCCAGTCGGAGTCGGTTGGGGGGGTTGCGGGGGGCATGGTTATGTTTGGTTTGGTGGTGGTGGTGGTGGTGGTGAGGGTTGAGAATGTGGGTTGGGTTGGAGATGGATGCTGTGCTTGTTAGTTTGATGTTGAGTGTGAGTTTGGGGAATGGGAGGGAGTAACTACTATACAGATTCCACTGGTGACTGTTGGTGGTGTAAACAAGAGGAATGGAGCATACACATCATGGATAGAAAGAGTGGAATCGCGGGGGCGGGGAGGGGGAGGGGTTGGATTGTTTGCGGAGAAATCTCCACGTGATGTTGATATCAATATCAAACCGCCATCCCATCTGTCTTCGATCCAGCCCCATAGATCTACTCAACATCCTCACATCATCCAGTATTTACCCCACGCCAAAGTCCAAATCGTAAAGAAACAATAATCAAATTGGTACACCCCAATGCTAATATCAAACTCCCCACACCCCCATAAACCTGTCCCCTGCATAAAACACCCTCTATCCACAGCTCTTACACTCCGGCCCACGAACATCGTCCACTCGACCAATCTTCCTCGGCCCAAATCCCCTCGGGCCTCCCCCTGGACCACCACCGCCACCACCACTACCACCACCACCCCCAAAAAGCCCCCATCGCGACCTAGATCCCGAGCTATTCCCCTTCCGATGGATATTGAACTGCGAATTCTGCGCCGCGGCGTAGGGATCGAGCTATATTTCGCAAAACCCATGAATATCAGCTAATCCCAACGCCACAACACAAGTCGCCATAAGTAGCAGCGGAAAGGCAGCAAGCAACCCTCACAACCACCTCACCACACAAGACGCAACCCCATAACCAAGAAGAGGATGTATGACTCACCGAGAACAAGCTCACGAGATACAGACCCAGAAACACATACACACTCTCGAAGAACCGACTGACTCGGACGGAGAGTGGGGGGCTAGACGGGGGGGAGGGAGATTAGCACGGTGCTTCTTGCTTCGGGCCCTGGCATGGCATGGCATGGCATGGAGGAAGGGGATATCGTGGTGGTTGGTTACCTTCCGAGAACGCGGCCGCCGGACACGTAGGTTCGGGGTTCGGGCGCCATGATTTATTTGGGGGATCGTAGGCTTGTTTGAGGTTGAGGTTGAGGTTGATGAAGGGAAAGTTGCAGTATGGCGTCAGATGAAGTTGCCATCATCGTTTCCATTTCGCACTGCAGGGGGAGGGATTCGCTAGATTGGGCTTAGTGGGGATTATGCCGGGAGTGGGGAGGCTATTTATGGTCCGGTCCTGCTGAGTCACTATCCACGGCCTAGTTATGATTTTATAGTTTTTAGTTCTTATGAAGAGTTGCTGGAAGTATAGCGCAACCCAACTAGGAAATTGGTATCATCCTCAGCTCCAGGCTCAGTCATTTAGCTCAACTCAGCTTGAAAGTATGAGCCCCACCATACTTGAGTTAGCCTGGTGGATCCTATACTACCTCAGTTTTAGTACTTCATCCTCTCAACTTGAAACGCGAATACTCAGCATAAAAGCCCCCAAATCCCCCCTCCCCCCATACCCATACCCATACCCATACCCATACCCAACTCACACTACGATCCCCCCCCAAAAATGCCAACCATAAACCTAACCCAGCTACACCTCTCCACTCCCCTCCCTCCAACCTCAACCTCAACCCCCACCACACTCCTAAAATCCCACCCTCTGCACGCCCACCCCCAATCAATCAACATCAACATCTACATCCAGCTCGAAGACCCAAGCACCATCTACCTCCTCCACGAGGACCCCACCACCACAACCCAAGCTACAATCGAAATCACCCGCAGATCCACCCACAGAATCGACCTCGATCTCCCAGCCCAAACCCTCCCGCTGACCGCCCCCGTTCTCGCGATAGGTCGGTATTTCATCCGACGCGGCCAACGCGCCGAATTCCAGCGGACGTTTGAGGCGAGCAAAGCCCACCTTGAGGCGTTTACGGCCCCGTATTCGCTGGTGGGCGGGTGGGTTGCTGGGGGTGAAGGGAAGAATGGGGGGGATGCAGACACCGACGAGGGGACAGCGGAGTTTGTTCTGTTTAGTGGGTGGGAGGCTATCGAGAGGCATTTTGCGTTTGCGGAGACGGAGGGCTTTAAGGAGTTTGCGAGGATTAAGGAGTTTATGGAGGGGGCGGAGATTAAGCATGCTGTGAGGTGGGAAGGGGGTGTCTGAAGGTTTCTTGCTGTGGAATTCGGGCATTGTGTATATAAGGTGTTGCGGTAGTCAAGGATCTCTACTCTTACTTATACTGGGCGGTACTATGCTCAGCGTGATATCATGCCATTAGAATAGTGCTAGACAGCACAAGGAAAATTAGCAATTAATTGCTTGGAATACTATGCACTGTACATTATGCATCGAGGGTCACGACAAGACTATAAGCTCCAAACCCATCACAAGGACAGGCTGAGTCCGGACTCAGAGGATCTCCATTCAACCAGACTCGCCTCTTCCTCCGTCTGCGACGTCAAAGCAACCGCATCGCCCTTATCCAAATCAACATCCTCACCCTTGAAGACACCGTCTTCAGCAAGTCGTACCGCAGCAACACCAGCCAGCTCCCCTATAGACGACCCGCCCAGAAATCGTAGCATCGGGAGTTCAACCCCAACCTCCTTCACAAACCATTGCCGCAACCCAATGGCCATCAACGAGTCCACCCCCATCTCGCTCAACACGTTACCAGGAGTCACGGACTCCTCATCGGGGAGACGCAGCCTCGAACGAACCTCCTCAATGAAGCCCGTACTGATTATCTGTATCGCGTCATCGATGCTATTTGCTTCCGTCAACTGTACTTTCATCTCCACAGTGTCCTTACAGACGCATGCTTCACTAGAGGGGCGTCCACTCTGATCAATGAAGCCCCACGCTCTTGGATTCCGGAACCATATTGCGTCAGAATTTTTGGCGGCATCCACAAGCTCGAACCCCGCGATGATATCTGCGTTTCTGCCCGCTTCAACCCGCCCAGCAAGAATTGCCTCCGCCATAATTTCGTGCAGATCATTTTCAGTCAGTTGTGAGCTGCTACTGCCCATTGTTTTCTGAAGGATGTCATGCAAAGCAGAATCTGCGCGGGCAAGATAGCCCACTCCCTCAATCGATGTCGGGTGGATGATACTTCCCACTCGATTCTGCTTGCGTCGCCGCTGGATAAGCGCAGACATGAAGTGGGTAGCTGCTGAGTAGGCCGCCTGGCCGATGTTGCCCATCGGTCCGGCGGCTGACCCAAAGAGGATGAAGAAGTCCAGATCAAGGTGGCCGAATATCTCATCAAGAAGAAGGCTTCCTTGAACCTTGGGGCTAAGTACTGACTGAAAATCTGAAATATTGATATTGGCGAACATTTGGTCCTTAAGGATCATTGCACCATTAAAGACCCCACCTATTGGTGGTAGCTGGGCAGAGAGTGTATCGTATGCAGAAGTCACTGATACGCGACTCGTGACGTCCCTAGAATATCTGGTCAGTAGCTATCAGCGAGATTGTCGAAGAAAACTGACATTGTAAATGGAATTACGCGAGCCCCCAAACTCGCCATCTCCCCAATCCACAGAGGATCAATCTTGGGGAATCTGCTGCTCATGGCAACACACCGCGCACCTCGATGAACCATCCATCGACAGACCGATTGGCCCAGACTTCCAGTCATTCCAACAAGGAGATATGTTTTGTCTGGTGATAGTCTTACCGCCGAACTTGCCGTCTGAATTTCGACTGGGATTTTATCATGCACAGTCCAATCCACGACTGCTTGACGGGAAAGATCCGTATGCATGCCGTGGATATCACGAAGAGAAATTAAATCAGTCGCTTTGTCTGCCTCCATTGCCTGCAAAGCAAACCCATATGCGCTCAGGAACGTCTGGCTCACAGCGACTGGATTGCTAAGCCTCGTGATGCTTGAAGACCTTCGACATACGTTGGTCAGCTTGAGTTGAACAACATCCTCTGAGACAACCGCTGCAATTCGAGAGAACAAGTTAGGCTTGCCTTCTTCAAGCTCAGCAATGACAGACAGGTCAGAAGGTAAAATGCGTGCGAGAGAGCGCACTGATTCGTTGTTGTGAATGAACAACGAGTGCTTTCCCGGTGAGACCACAAAATCGCTAGTACTGAAATAGACTTGCATCTGTCGCACAGCACCCAGAGCCGTGAACGCTTCCTGTTTCAATCTGCTCATCGATTCGAGCCCATGAATCAGTACTGACATATTAGGTATTCCAGAGCCCACTACACTAATGGCCATGATTGCTGCAGCCATCCTATTTAGAAATGTGGGCTCCACAGCTTCAGGGAGATGCTCCGGCATCCGAAAGCAATAACTTAGAGGCACAGAGATCAACGAAGCTTGCTGCGACGATAGGGCAAACCAACGTGTTCGGTCACTTGTATCGCGGCCTATCACCAAGTAGAGATATCCAGCACCTTCCACATGATAAGCGTTCAATGTGGAGTAGCTCGCATCAAGCCAGCGCTGATGAGAGGTACCTCGACAGTCGTCACCCTTGCTGCCTGCTCTTTCGGACAAAACAAATTCTCGACGCCGATTTGAAGGTGGAATGATATGCACCACTGATTGATGCAAATTGGCATACCCGTTTAGTCTGCGCCGACCAGCTATGTACCGATTATTCAGTGCGTCGCTAAGATTAAATCGCGGAATCTGCAACGTGCCATTGACGAGCCTTAGCTCCGGCTCAATGCTATGCACACGATCTGACAACGTGAAGTCATTGTCTCCAGTGGTATGAGACAGTCGCAAGAAGATCGTAGCCAGTCCCGGTGCAGTAATCTCAGCTCGATCAGGAACATTCAGGTACTGACAGAGGAGCTGCGGGTTCTCGTATGCAACGCAGTTTATAATGCCTTTAGCCATCGCCCAGTATGGATCTTGGCTCTCGTGTCCGGCAGTTATCCAGAGAAGCCTGTTGGCATGGTTCATTAGCGCCTTGAGTCCACCCAGACGCTCTTCTGTGAAGACTTTATAGCAAGGACAATCGAGATCCGTCAAGACTAGGACGTGTGATTTGGATAGGTCTTGTTGATCCAGCACCTCTAGTGTCGATGCAATGACCACACGAGAGAAAAAGCGAGCCAGAAGCGCCTCGAGCCCTGATATAAGATTCGCAGTCGCGTTTGTTGCACCCCCAACAATCCAAACATCGTTGTCAAGGCGGCCTGAGAACATCCATGGATTACGCTGAAGCATGATTGCCTCATCGGTAGCTTGCGAGACAAATGTCGAATTGAACACAAGTTCACTGGCAGGTGAGATTGCTTCGAAACCACCAAAACCAGTCTGCTGAAGCAGCTTCTCCCAATCCTGGATACTTAAAATTGGACTCCACTGGCGAACGCTGTCGTCATCTTGCCACCACTTTGCAGTGCCACAATTTGCCAGCATAACACGACTAATATCGAGGTTAGTTCCTTCCCGCGCAACTAGATAACCACCAGGTTTGAGCAAGCGCCGGATATTCACCATAGTCTCACGAAGCCTCTGTGATTGGGACAGAGAGTTAGCAGCAATAACTATATCATATCTCTCATTCTCAAAGCCTTGTTCAAGCAAGCTCTCTTCAACATCAAGTCGTTGCAAGATCAGTTTGGTGTTATTATCGCCGGCGAACGTCTCATATGCCTCTGAGAGCCGAATCGCTGATGTGTCAGTGATGGTGTATGATTGGTAAGAGCTGCCAATCTTATTGAGAACGGATCTTGCCGTTAATCCACTCCCTGCATTGAGCTCTAGGATTTTCGCTTGAGGATAGCGGAAGACCAGCTGTCCGACAAAAGTTGCAAGCTCAGAGCTGCTAGGGTCGCTTTCAAAAGGATCCAGATACAGCCTTCTAGGTTCAAAGTCATCATTGTCGTGGCAGAGCGGTAAGGGGCCGAAGACTCCCTGCAGCATGCTGGACAAATTCTCTCCAGCTACCCGCAAATTGTGCCAACCCGGGCTTGTCTCATCTGCGATCTCTAGCACTTCGTCGATGGTGTCATCCAACCACTCAGGCTGATAAATAGGATGAGTGCCATCACGAGTCATCTGCAAGACCCTTTCCATCCACTTTATCACACTTCCACGGTACGGATCCATAGGCGCATACTCCAGTGCTGTCAGCGTCTCCCAGGCGTCCTTTATGTATAGTAGAGCACACTGCTCTGCGCAATACAAGTTTGATTCGGTCTCTGAATTGGCACCAGTCTTCATTGGCACAGAATGAGGCACAAGCGGTCCCCAGACAATCTCAGAGAAGATATTGCGATCATCAGGGACGGCGAGTGGAGCGACCTGAAAGCCTTCGATGAGAAAGACGCCTTGACCCTCACTATTATAAGTGTGAATATCCGCTTTCGCTCCGTCGACCGTGTCCTCAAGAAGCGCAGTATCAACCATCAGATCCTGGGTTTCGTTCAACGATTCTGCTCGGCAGAGTAATGGGTTCATGACAATATGCTCTATGTGTACGGGCACACTTGGTGTCTGTAGCTTTACAGCAGCCAGCATACCATGAAGACTAGAGTCCATGGCTGCTGGATGCAGCGTTGACGATGATGTGTTATTGCAGGAGACGACACCTGTCGACCCATTCGATTGGCGGGCAACAGCTTTGAGGCCTCGAAATGCACCACGGTAGTCCAGACCGAACTTCTCCAAGCCGGCATAGAAGCTGTCGATGTCCACCGGTCTTGTGAAAGGCGTTGGCATCCGTCGTGGAGATAGCGCCATTGCGTCTGTTTCACCCAGGGAAAGCGTGGTTCTCCCCGAAGCGCAGACCTTCAAAATTCCTCCAATATTGGCATAACAGGTAAACGTGCCTAGAATTTTATGATCTCTCATGGACTCCTGCTCGGCCCTGAAGATAACTTCAACACCTTGGGGGTCGTCTGGAATGTTGATGGCGCGCTTGATGTGCATTTCATCGATCTCGAACAAGCGCAAACACTGTCCCTGAGTCATTATGAGGGCCGCCTCGAGCATCATGACAATGTAGCCTGTGGCAGGAAAGATAGCCTGAGACTGCACTCTATGATCATTCAACCATACCAGCTCTGTCCGACTGAGAAAGTTCCGCCATCGCCATTCATTCTCTGTGGTCTCAGGACTAAGTGCCCCCAGCAGATAATGTGGTGTGTCAGCACGGTGCAGACGGGCGTTGGTCAAGCGAGACATAGCCCAGTAAGAATTCGTATGATCGAAAGGGTAGGTTGGTAGATCTTTCAAGAAGTGGCAGTCATGATCAAGGTCGAACAGCCTGATAAGTTTTTGAGTCTCGAGACTTGGTAATTGATGATCCCAGAAGAGTGCGATAGCGTTGGCAATAGAGTCAAAGCTACCGCTGTCCCGGTGAGCCAGACCGACATAAGACGACAGCTTGGTATCACTTTGCTGAAAGTCAGACAGGGTCTGCAAGACCGGACCTTTGAGCGTTGGATGCGGGCCGACCTCAACCATCATGTTCGAACTCGCAAGGCCAGAAAGCACAGCTTGAACAGCCTCGCAAAACAGAACAGGACGAAGCATATTTTCTGCCCAGTATTCATGGCACACATCGTGCCTCTCAAGGCTCTTTGCATGGTATACACTGGAGTACCATGGCACATTGGGCGGTCGATACTTGATATCGCAGGCTCTGATAGCACAGAGATACGACTCAGCACAAGGCACCATATGGGGAGAATGATACGCCGTATCGACTTTTAAACAACGTGCTCTGATGTTCAAGCTCTGCAAGATCCATTCCAGGTCCTGCACCGCATCCGCATCACCTGAAAAAGTCACACTCGTGGGAGAGTTGCTGGCCGCCACCACAATTCGACCGCTGAATCCACCATCTTCACAGAGGAAAACTGCATCCTTCCAGGACATCGCCCCCGCTAGCATTGCCCCCGGCTGTCCACCCCTACTCATGCTTTGGTGGGTTGCCCAGCCTCGCAAATATGCCAACCTAATTGCGTCCGATGCTGAGACTACGCCAGCTGCGTATGCTGCGGCTATTTCACCGGAGGAATGCCCAACAACAGCAGAAAAGACTACTCCCAACACGCGGAGCAAATTGACCTGAATAATCTGAATGGCAGCTCGTAGGGTTTGTGATACTAGTGCCTCATGGATCCGAGAGGTATCTTTGGGGGCCGAGAGTTCTTGTGCTAGCAAGAAGTCAGGGCGATATTGTGGCGGAAGGGAGATTAGGGATTCTTGCAGCTCTTCCATCCATTTGAGGGCTTGCGAACTTCGAGATATGAGGTCCCAAAACATCTGCGGGTACTGTGCGCCCTGGCCGGTGAATATTCCAACAACTCCCTTGGAAATCGTTCGGTGCTTGGTGGTGGTCTCAATTGAGCTACGATGTTGGAGCTCTATCTGGAGCTTGGTCTCAAGATCGTCCAGTGAGGATGCTGTCAGGGTGAGACGATGGCTCATAAGAGATCGGTGATGCATCAACGACTCTGCCAAGGTAATGAGGTCGGTCTCAGGGCTTTGTCGTAAGTATTCAATGTATCGGTGAAGTAAGTGTGTCAAAGACTTCTCTGTGGCTGCGGAGAAGACGAGTGGCAATAATGGGGGTAAAAGTGTCTTTGGCAGATATGGCATCGGAGCCGCATAGCTCTCAAGAATGAGATGTGCATTTGTACCGCCAAATCCAAAGGAATTGACCGAGACTCGCCGCGGAACGCCGGGGGCCAGAGTAGGCCACGGTACCACTTCAGTAGGCACTCGCAGATGGGTAGTGTAGGGTGCGATGCTGGCGTTGATGCGATCGAAGTGCATGTTAGGGGTAATGACACCATGCTGGACGCAAAGGGATGCCTTAATAATGCCGGCTAGACCCGCCACACTCTCGGTGTGACCGATGACCGTCTTGATAGAGCCCACATACAGAGGGTTCTGCGGCCGGGATCTCTCCTCGAACAGGGCATCGTATATCGCCGTTGCCTCCTGGGGATCGCCAGCCTGGGTCCCAGTCCCATGGGCCTCGAAGTACTGACACCGATCCTCCGGACGACTCTTAGGGTCCAGGCCAGCGCTGGCATAGGTCGACTGAATCAGCCTCGACTGGGCCGTCCACGAGGGCATGGTCAGACTCATACTGCGGCCATCCGCGTTGACCCCCGTCGCACGCACGATACATTCTACGGGATCACCGTCCCGTGTTGCATCGCTCAACCGCTTCAATACCACCGCGGCAATACCCTCTCCCCGGGCATACCCATCAGCATCCCGATCCCACATTCGACATCGACCAGTCGGTGACAGCAACCGCAACTTGGAGGCAGCAATATACTCCCGCGGGCTGAGGATCAGGTTACTCGCCGCCACGATGGCGACAGGGCAATCGCCCTTCCGCAACGCATCCACCGCCTGATGCATGGCAACCAGACTCGACGAACAAGCGGTATCGATGGTGATTGAGGGGCCATGCCAGTCGAAGAAGAAGGAGATGCGGTTGGACAGCATAGAAGCAGCCCCGCCAGTGGAAGTGTAGGTCGGGATATTTTCCCAGTCGTTCGTGATAATATTGCTGTAATCTGTGTTCATCAGGCCGCAGAAGACGCCCGTGTCCGAGTCCTGCAGAGTCTCTATGCGTAGACCTGCTCGCTCCAGGGACTCGTAGACTACTTCCAGCAGTAGTCGTTGCTGAGGATCCATGGCCTCGGCTTCGGTGGGGGAGATGTTAAAGAAAGAAGCGTCGAACTGCTGGATGTTCTCGGACAGAAAGTAGGATTCCGGGGCGTTCCCCGTACCGTGGTGAATGTCTGGGTGATAGAATGCATCATGATTGAAGCGATTGCTGGGGGTCTTAGAGGCGAGGCTGCGAGGAGATTGAAGAAGGTCCCAGAGCTTGGAAGGGGAAGAAGTTGAGCCTGGGAAGCGGAAGGCCGTGCCAATAATGGCAATCGGTTCGGAAAAGGAAGGCATGACTGTAGCCGCGGGTCTACCTTATAGAGGTAGCAAGTACACAAATACACACCACTTGGTCTCACACCAAGAGAATGATGGAAAGAAGAAAAGAACGAAGTATTATACTCAAGACAGAGTCGGTTCTTCAGCTTGGAGTTAAGTGCATGTTCTCGACCTTCTTTCTGTCTGTCTGTCTGTCTGTCTGTCTGTCCTTCCTTCTATATCAACCAATCGATACAAGGTGCCCTCCTGGTCTGCAACTCGCATACAGCGGCAGGCTGTCGCGGAAAGTACATCCATCTCGCTTGTAAGTATCTCGAGGATTCTGGCTACCAAACGAGTCATCATTCTTCAAGCAATGAACATGAACAGCCTCGTTGGAGTGGGGGCGAGGAGATCATAGCTGAAACCAAGGAAAGATGCAAGCTGGACGCCTATCGGTTGCGAGGACGCACAGTACCACTGTGCATTGTTAGTTATCTCGGAAGTGAGTAACTAATGAGTGAGTGATGACCATCCCCGCTAGGTGCAGAAGATTCCAATCCAGTACATGCACTCTACTAAATTAGTGGCAGCCTTAGCACGAACGGGATTACTTCCTCCTCCCCTCACCATTGGCGGGGTTGCCCTCGAGTCAGTCCCCGACGCCAAAGCCCAAGGAACCCCTCGCACCATCGCGTGGGAAGGAAGGCTGAGTCCTGCCTCTTGTGTCTTACTTCTTCCAAGTTTCCAATCAGCCGGGCTGATTGGGGAAATAGTTCCGACACCAACGCCAACACGAGGAAGACATAGAACTATAAGCCAAGCTGATAATACGAGATCTTGCAAAAGGGACGCAATCCTTCTGACGAATGACGTAGCGTCAGCTCAGGATGGAATTGCTTTCCTTCTGGAATAAGCTGAATCGCATTGTCCATTGCCTATTATCCGGCGGGGGTTGTCCAGATGCATGGTCTGGAAGCGTTTGCTAATGATGATTGAAGTAACAACTTGCGAACGACCTACTTGGTAAGTAGAATTAGTAGACTTGGCAGACTTAGGTAGTAGCAAACAATAGCCAGACCAAGCAGTAGGGGAAGAGGGGGTAAGTGACAGTGGCTGGCTGCGTACAGCCCTAGTATACTTGCTTCCATTCCCCATCCTTCCAAATACCTTCAGCCACCAAGCAGCACGAGTCTGCCTCGATTGGTGTGACAGATAACGGTTGGGTTGAGGGTATCTTTTTTTTTTTTTTTTTTTTTGCTTTTTCTTCTCAATCTCATAGACAATGCGTCTGACTTCTGCAGCAGCCCATTCTTTGACTCGGGGGCGGATACCCCAATTGGTCTCGAGTAAGCCCAAGGCTGAATAGCCGAGCTTTCAGGATGCAAGCGACAATAGAGATATCGAGGGCTTTAAAGCAGTCAGTCATTGCACATGCATTCCTTCCAAGGCATACTCAGTCAGTATCAATGCAAACATGGATGTAGTGTCTTTCGCATTCAACGGTCCGGTCGAGTACGACCAAACCCGACCTCTATACATTGACGCTCGAGATCCCTCGCGCAGTCTGAATGCTTATCAACTCAAGCATCTCGTGCAGACCCTGGTGGCCGGATTGAAACGCCATGTTGAGCCCGGGGAAGCGGTCTTGGTTCACCTGGGCAACAGCGTGAGTATAGTACCAATCGACCTGTCCCTGTCCTCACAACCGCCTGTATCCATGACTGACAGCCATACCACTCCGCCAGTTCGCCCACTCAGCCCTATTCTTCAGCATCCTCGGAGCAGGGAATGTCTACATCGGCGCCGGACCCGACAGTCCACCGCTTGAACTGGACAACGTGGTCAAGGCAGGCGAACCCAAGCTGATAATCACCACCAGCGCAGCCCTCGCCACCGTGCTCGAAGTTACCTCAGCGCGAGGCATCGCAGCGAAGCAAGTCTGCGTCTTCTCCGAGGACACCATCCTGAGCTTCCTGCACAGCCCCGACACCCTCACCCCAGAAAAGCCACCGATCACCACCACAACCCCCCAGCCCATCCCACTAACCACCCTCCTAACCCACGGCACCAGCCCCTGGACCCCCCTCACCGCAACCCAGGCACACGCCACGCCCGCCTCGATGTTCTGCACCAGCGGGACCAGCGGACTCCCCAAAGCCGCGATCCTTTCGCACACCAACATGATCACGCACCACCTCAGCAGCCACTACCCCACCCCAAACCCAGTAACAACAAGCCGCCTAATCGCCATCCCAATGCACCACCTCTACGGCGCGGTGTGGACGCACATCTTCCCGATCCGCTACGGCTCGCCCGTCTACAGCCTGCCGCGCTTCGAGATCCACGCCTTCCTGCAAGCCATCCACGCCCACCAGATCACCAACACCTACCTCGTCCCGGCCATGGTGCACATCCTGACCCAGACCACCCTCCCCATAACGCTTAAACTCGCCTCCCTCCGCTACTGCCTCGTCTCCGCCGCCCCCATCGACGTCCCCGCCCTCGACCGGCTGCAATCCCTGCTCACCCATCCCTCCGCCATCGTCACCCAGAACTGGGGCATGACCGAGACCGGCCTCGTGTTCCTGTCGCCGGCCACGGATACCGTCCACGACAAAGCGAGCATTGGCCGCGTGCGCGGGGACGGGGTCGAGGTGAGGCTTGTTGATCCCAGGGATCACGGGGCCGTTATCGAGGAGGACGGGAGGGCCGGGGAGATGTGGGTCCGTGGGCCGGGGATCTTCCTGGGGTATAAGAATCGTCCAGACAGTAATGATGACAAGGAAGAAGGGGGCTGGTTTCGGACGGGGGATATGGTGTTTCGGAAGCAGGGGCTGTATTATTTGTTTGGGAGGGTGAAGGAGATTATCAAGGTTCGAGGGTGAGGTTTCTCTCTCTACCCTTGTCTTTTTCATGGCTTCGGAAGAAGGTATGCGATTGGGGTTGGGTGCTAACAAGTGTGAGTGTGAGTGTGCAGGTATTCTGTCGCCCCCGCGGAGATCGAGGATGTGCTGGTCCAGCACCCCGGCATCGACGACGCGGCTGTACTTGGGGTGCAGGCAGGTGATGGCAGTGGGACGGAAGTGCCCAGGGCGTTCGTGGTGAGGAAATCACCAGCATCAACTAAAATCACGGTTGAGGATGTCTATGACTTTGTCGCGGGCCGGCTGGCGAGGTACAAGGCGCTGGACGGGGGGGTGGTGTTTGTGAGCGAGATTCCCAGGACGGCGACGGGGAAGATTCAACGGGCCAAGTTGGGGCAGATGAATGCGCAGAGGGAGAAGATTGCGAAGCTGCTGGCGGCGAGGAAGGTTGCTGTGGAGGCTGTTGGGTAGGTAGGTAGGTGCCTGAGTTAGTGAACTGGTATAGATGATATGCTATATAGGTTGTTTGTTCTGCATATGTTTTTGTGAATAACAGTGGTTTTGGTTGTTTTGTACCCAAGATCCACGGAGATCTTGTGTATCATGTCGATATCTTCCTCCGAGCTGTTCAATACTTACTATAGATGAGCTTTTCTAGGAAACTGAAAGAAAGGGGGGTCCGGGGGTTCTCCCCCGGAGACCGTCCATTGCGGGAATTAAATTGAGTGCTACTGGAAAGTTGATGGAAGTCGATACGAGGCATATCTTCAGTGGTCAACCATCGGTCTATCATCCCCGCGTCGGGATTTCATTCATATACATCATCTATGGGTATCTATGCAACAAACATAACAACATACAACACAATCACTGGTTCTCATCAATGCCAGCACCACCACCCGTCTCCAAGCACAACTCATCCAAGCTCCGGAAACCTTCCTCAACCACCCACTTCTGTCCCTGCGCCGGATGCAGAACATAGCAACTGGCTCCCACAACCAACAGCCCAGGGGGCCTGGACCCCTCCGCCTCGAATGCAGAACTCACATGCTCCAATGTGGACCGGATCACCCGCTGATCCGTACACGAAGCCCGCTCAATGATCGCACAGGGCGTCTCCTTCGGCCAGGGCGTCCGCGTTGGCTGCGACGACTCATCTTTGTCATCAGTCGCCGCTGGCACCGTGGTCAACGACTCCACCAACGCTGACAACCGGTGCAGCGCCATCAGAAACACCACCGTCTGGGTTGGCACGTACGTCGGCGGAGCGGGCGCGGCGCCCTTGCGACCTGTACCCGTACACACCAGCACCTGGTCCGATACTCCGCGGTGGGTGGCCGGGATCTCTGCGAAGAGCGGCGCGCTCAGAGCACTGGTGATGCCCGGCAGCACAATCGGCGCGTAGCCCTGGCCGCGGAAGAACTCGAATTCCTCGCCGCCCCGCCCATACAGATAGGGGTCTCCTTGCTTGAGACGCAGGACGTGCCGGCCCCGGCGGAGCGCCTCCAGTCCCATCTGCAGGAACTCCTCTTGCGCCTGATCCGCATTGCCGGGAAACTTGCGCGCGATATGCACCTCCGTCCGGCGCGGGATCAGCTCCAGGACTGGAGCAGGGACGAGTTTGTCAGCAAGGATGAGGTCGGCATTTTGGATGGCCTTGTAAGTGGCCCGAGTGAGGAGGTCCGGGTGGCCGGGGCCGGAACCAGCCAAGACAATCTTTCCTCGTCGCGCCAGACTGCTCGACTCGTTCTGGCTGCTGTTAGTGGGTTGGTCTTTGCCAGCTGAATAGGCCTCAAGGATGGTCTCGATATCGGCATCCGTGATGGCGGCGAGCTTGCGGAGGGGCCAGTACTCGCAAATCTGCGAGAGCCAGCGCACGCGTCGGGTTTTGGCGGCGGAAATGTCGTCCTCGGTCACTAGGGTGTTGAATGTATGGCGCTGACCGGTGGAGTCGTCCTCGTCACCCTCGAGTGCCGTGTCACACAGTCCGGCTGCGTGGTCTTCAGCCCAAAGCCGCTTCCTCACGGCGCCCAGTCTGTCAATGGCGCTTCCGAGATTCGATGGCAGCGAAGACGAGATCTCTCGCCGCAGCCGAGACGCCAGTTTACACCCGCGTCCCGACGTCGTGATGCCAATTTGTAGGGGCCCATCAGAATATGTGGATAGGAGCGTAAATGTGCAGAGCTCGGGAGCATCGGACACATTCACCGGGATCCGAAGCCGTCGACAGAGCTTGGAGATGTGTGCGCTGCGCGGGTCACTTCCGCCCAGGGTAACAAAGACTGTGTCAACCACGCGGTCGACTTCTTCCCTCCCCAGGCTGGTCAGGTCATCATTTTGAAAATCCCGGCGAACCCACTGCACGGAACCACTCTCGATCCGCTCAAGAAGCGTATATTGCAGCCCCTCCTGCGGTTCGGGGGTGATCAGGATGGGCTTTGCGCCGGCCTCAACGCTCTTCGCACATCGAGCGGCAGCCAGCGGGTTGGCTCCAATGATCAAATGCACCTGCGACTCGACGTTGACCGCCGTCAACAACGGCGCGGGGGAGCTGGTATCTGATGCATCCCGCATGATGATTAAGTCGCCACTGCGGACAATGCAGGCTATAATGGGTGGCGTATCTTTCCAACTTCTCTCTTCTCCGATCAGTAGTTGAGAACTGATTACCAGGTAAGCGACGTGATTTCTTCGGATACACTCTTGAAACTTGTGACTCAGGATGGTCGATTTAATTTATGGATTCCGAGAGGGTAGAGAGTGCACCTCCGCGGAAATGTTCGACGTAGCGGATGACTAGTGACAACCTGGAGATAAGCACTGCGAATTCTCCCAATTGCCAGCAAAGTATGGTCGATAAGGCTATCTGCGATATGAATCACAACAGAAAAACACAAAATGTCCGCGGCGTCGCAGTCATTTGTCCCTGAGGATTTTATAGATTCGTCGCCCAATGCGGTTAACCTCATATTGCGTGATTGCGTGCTCGGGAATCTGGCTTAGATAAGCGGTCGGCTTACTCTGAGTTACCGGATTGGGTAGGCCCTGGCATGACCAGTTGGTGGAGTCTGAAAAGATCCATGAAGTTCACGGCCTCAGGCAGTAAGTCTTGGGAGAGAGGTCGGATAACAGGGTTCTGATTGTCCATTTGCTGAGTTACGAGACCGGAGATAGCCAACCACATATAATGCGTGCCATTCATCTTACTGGGACATTTATAAGCAAAATAAGAAATAAAAATCAAACTGAGGACACAGGAGATCAATCCGGCGGAATTCACATTGTTCATGAGAGGACAGTAGCAGGTGTAAACAACCTTGAACACCATCCATAGTGTTCAAATGGAGGTTGCTGGACACTGTTCGGTCACGTGATGCAGCTGGGAGCTGCACGTCAGAGCTCCGAAGCCCGTTCATCCATGCTTCGAACAATCCGCCTTCATCATATCCCCCCATCCCCATCTTCTCGCCCATTTCCACGTCCTCTTTGTGTGATCATACCCAATACTCCTTAGATACCCCTTTCTTCAGATCTACAATCTCTCTACTTACAGTGACGCCTCGTCACCATGTCCGAAACCTTGTTGAAGCCGGAGAAGGACTTCTCCAAGGATGCTGACAAGCTAATCCCCGAGGCAGAGCAGCTTGCCAAGGTCGGCGCACTAGCATTTCTTGAAGCTCACAAAATGCTGACTATCTATAGACCGATGTGCAAGGTGCCATTGACAAGCTTCTGGTGTTGGAGAAGCAGGCCAGACAGGTGCGACCCTCCTTGCCCCCGTCCGGCGACAAGTCCGCGTCTAACTAGCCCACCTCCAGGCTTCCGATCTGGCCACCACATCCCGAATCATCGTTACAATCGTCACAATCAGCAAGGACTCCGGCGACTGGACCCTCCTGAACGACCAAGTGCTGCTGCTCTCGAAGAAGCATGGTCAGCTCAAACAAGCTATAACGAAGATGGTACAGGTGGTGATGGGATTCCTGGACGAGACCCCCAACCTGGAGGTCAAGCTCTCAGTCATCTCCACGCTGCGGACGGTGACCGAGGGAAAGGTCAGTCGCACACCATCCTGCGCTCAAATCAAGCCAGGTTCGCTCGCTAACTGCCGCCTTGCCGCATTAGATCTTCGTCGAAGTCGAGCGCGCCCGTGTCACCCGTATCCTCTCCAACATCAAGAAGACCCAAGGCGACCTCCAGGCGGCCGCCGATATCCTCTGCGAGCTGCAGGTAGAGACGTTCGGTTCGATGAGCCGAAGAGAAAAGACAGAGTTCATCCTGGAGCAAGTGGCCCTGTGCATAGAGCGGGGTGACTGGACGCAGGCCACGATCCTCAGCCGCAAGATCAACAAGCGGTATTTCGCCCGCAAGCCGAAGAAGAGCGCCGAGGAGATCGAGAAGCTGAAGAAAGAGGCCGAGGAGCGGGAGAAGACCCGCCAGCCCGATGAGCCGCCGATGGAGGTGGACGACGATGTGACCGACCTGAAGCTGCGCTACTACGAACAACAGATCATCCTCGCCAACCACGACTACAAATACCTGGACGTGTGCAAGCACTACCGTGAGGTGTTGGATACGGACTCGGTTCAGAACAACCCCGAGCAGCTTCACGCGGTACGTTTTTGACCTCCTACATCCTTTGGGTGGTCCCTGCTAACGGGATTTCCCCAGGTTCTTGCTCGCATCGTGTATTACATCGTCCTTTCGCCCTACGACAACGAGCAGTCGGACCTCCTGCACCGGATCCAGCAGGACTCGCGCCTGTCGTCGGTGCCCGTCGAGGCCCGCCTGGTGAAGCTCTTCACCATCCACGAGCTGATGCGCTGGCCGATGGTGGCGGAGCAGTTCGGCCCGCACCTGTGCCAGACCGACGTCTTCAAGGCGCAGCCGAGCCAGTCGGCGGAAGACCAGGCCCACCGGCGGTGGCAGGATCTCCGCAAGCGGGTGATCGAGCACAACGTGCGGGTGGTGGCCAAGTACTACACGCGCATCCAGATGGGCCGGTTGACGGAGCTGCTGGACCTGGCAGAGGACGAGACGGAGAAGTACATCAGCGAGCTGGTGACGTCCAAGACGATCTACGCCAAGATCGACCGTCCCGCGCGGCTGGTCAACTTCTCGAAGCCGCGCGACGCGGACGACGTGCTGAACGAATGGAGCAGCGACATGAAGAGTCTGCTGGGACTGTTGGAGCGGATTGATCACCTGATCACCAAGGAGGAGATGATGGCTCGGATCCTTCCCACTCGGGGCGAGAAGGGCAAGGCTCGTTGAAATAGTGGGAAACGATGTACAACGAGAAAACCCGACGTTAGAGGATTAGGAATGGTATGACGATTATCTATAGTAGTCTCACACACACTGTCTCTCTCTATACACACCTAACATCTATCTATCTAACCCCGTATACAAACTCAAAACGGCAACTCCATATCATTAACATCCTCATCCATGACCCCCTTCTTCTTGCCTCCTTCCTCGGCCTCCAAAACCTCCCGAATAAACCGAACCACCGCATCCAAATACGGCCTCTGACTCGGCACAAAATGCCCACCGGGATGGAACACGACCCTGCCCTCAACCTCCGGATCCCCCAGACACGCCTCGACCAAGGCGCGACTCCGCCCCTCATCCACCACGGCATCCAAGGTGCCCAGCACATGCAAGACGGGCGTCTTGATCCCGGGCTCATAGAACGCGCGATACCGCGGCCCCGGCGCGCGGAACCCACTGTAGCACACCGCGAACTTCAACGGGCCCTGCTTTTTGTGCCTGTTCCCGCCACCATTTTCCCCGGCACCACTACTACCATCCGCCAACACCGCCCTCAACGCCTCGGGCACCTTAAACCCCTCCACCCCACTCCACTCCGTGCCCCTGCACGCAGTCTCGGGATCCTCGAACCCCTCAAACACCGTCAACCGCCCGGTCTCCAGCAAGGACGCCACCATGGCGGCCATCGCGGCGCCCTGCGAGAACCCCACCACCGCGTCGAAGGGGCCCTCGTCCCGGATCACCTGCGCCAGCGTCGTGAGGCCTTCCTCCAATCCCGAGTACAGAGGGGGGTTGGCGGTGTTGGAGCGGCGGAACCAGCCGTAGGCCTCGGGGTCTTCCGCCTCTTCGGTGGACGCGATCCCGCCTTGGGTGGTCGGGGGCTCGTAGCCCGGGATGTCGGACGGTAGGAGGCGGTGCGGACCGGTCGGGTAGCTCGTCGTCACGGTGTAGGTTGGGCTGAGGGCTTTGGTGAGGTGCTTGATCACGGCGCGGGTTTTGGCGTGGAAGAGGGGGCCCGATTGCGTGTAGCCGTGCAGGCAGAGGAGTTTGAGGGGAGTTCCTGGAGGTGGCATTTTTGCAACTCTAGATGGGAGGGTTGGAGGCTCTGGAGGGGGATCAGTGGAAGTTTGGAGTCTCCAAAAGACCAAAAGAGGGAGGGATATAGTAAAAGGATGAAGAAAAGAGAGATAAATGCCTTTGATTAAGTGAGTTACTCGGTGTTGCGGAGTCAGAGTAGAGAAGGCATGCGGCGATAAGATAAGAGCCCGGCGGTGCCCTTGGATTTCTGCCGCTTTTTTGGGGGCGGTGATCAATTGAACAGTTTCAGCGGCCGAGTTTCACCCGTGGTAGTGATTCTGCCGCTCTGGCGGAGGCGGTATGAAAGAAACCACTTTCAGCGAGCGAGTTTCGCCCGTGGGAAGAATTCTGCCGCCACCGCAAGGCGGTAACAAGTTGAACAGTTTCGACGGCCGACTTTCCCCCGTGGTCTGTATAATTCTGCCGGCTCCCTCGGAGGCGGTATGAAAAAAACCACTCTCAGCGCCGAGTTTTGTCCCGCTGTACTACAATTCTGCCGAAGATGCAGCCACCGCTCCCTATCGACTGCTAATACTATGCAGATATGGTTGTCACAATGCCCTTAGCTAACATCTTCTCGTTTTTCAATGCAATGACATAATAACGAACTACCTAGGTTGACAGCGTAGCAAGAGTATACTGACTACAGCTTAAGGTCCTCCTTCCTGCTGCCAAAAACAGTGGCGTGTCTCCGAATCGATCCACCGTCTGTAAGCCCCAGGTATGATGCGTAGTGTATACCCAGGAAGTCGCCGGGGAAGTCAGGTACGCCGACTCCACGTTCTCCAACGAATAGAGACTGCGCGATGCTAGCCACTGTACCTTTGTGTAGAAAAAGCCTGAGTGCCAAATCTACCATTCTTCTGTGATGTACCCCCAAACATATGCTTGCCGAGGTCTTTTGCAGCGTAATCGAAGAGCACATAAATTTTTCGCCGCCGGCGCAGCTCGTCGAAATAAGGGCAAGGTCCGGCTCCAAAGGAGGCGAAGGACAGATACTGCAGGCAGTTGGATGCCATTTCAACATGACCCATGACCCCAGGGGAAATACCTAGCTCGGTTCTCTCTGAGAAACTCCTGCACCGTATAATGAACTAGGCGACAAATGCTGCCTCTTTCATCGATGGTTTCTCAGCCGGCGCATATCGAGAGGATGTACATGGGTGCAGTAAGTGCATTATCATCGATATCGACGTCTCCTTCCCGCACGGCCAACAGATGCTGAAGTTCCTTGACACGAAGCGGCCGCGACGCGTTGACGATCCAGAGAAGCGTTTTCTCGGCCAAACGAACGGCCTCTGGATTTTGACTCTTCAACCTTCCTATCGCCTCCTGGTATATCGCTCCCGAGCTCTTTGGAAGATCTTTTAGGGCTTCACGAAGACTTCGCACGTTAAGCTTCGTTGCGAGGTAGCTCGCGTGGAACTGAGCATACAAGATCCTACACGTGTCGGACAAGTCTTCCAGTAAATATCCTAAGGGCAGACAAGCAACCAAGTCACTCACTGTATGGCGCTCATTATAGGTGCAATATACATACATGCTATTCCTGCAGCCATACCTTCAAATTTCTGCTGAAGATGCTCAATTGCAATAGACGCGAAGACCGTCTTCCTATCGCCCGGGAGTCCGGGACAGTATAATGTCTGATTTGGTGTATCTTTCCAGCATAGAAAGGCATTCGAGCCCAACAACCACGATCAATGTTAGTGCTCCGTCTTCCGAAATTATCGTTTTGCTTTGCGGAGTAATCCAATGGTGGGATCCAACACAGGATTTTATCATAGACCGATCCTATGCAACTCAGCTCCAAATCCTAGTCTGTGGTGAAAAGACTTCTATCTTCCTGAACAGAGGTGGACGCATGACTGACCGCAGTGATACTGTCTGCCATGGTTTCAAGTTGAGTCGAAACTAGCTCGTCCAGAAAGGCCCGCGCAGCAACATGCTCCATGCTCATGGCGCAGATCCAGCCAACCGTATAAGCTCTCGGGCTAGACATGATAGCCGCAAGATAGAAAGTGACATGGCTCCAGATGGAGGAACAGAATGGGTGGAGGAAGAAGTCAGGACAGCCTGATCAGCCGCGCGAGCTGACTGACAGCATGGCCACTCTGCGCTCCGGTCTTAGCCTAAAAGCCACAGAAAAGAGCCACATAGGGACTGACGGCCATTGGTATCAACATACTGCCGATACTAAGTCTCAGATATGTCTTAAAGAAGGTTCATCATGGTGGGTGTCTACCTTTGTAAGGGCGAATATTCGCGGTACGCTACATCTGTCTCAGGCTTCGCGGGTATGAGATAAGTGACGAGGCACTATCACTGGTAAGATTTCATGCTTCATCGTATGTACTGGACCGCATATGAAGGTCAGCATTACTCTCGATGATGATAGCATGTAAGCCCAACCCAAAAGCACAGTAAGTATAAGGTTGGAAGGCGAGACAAAGCCGATGAAGTAAAACATCTTCTCTCTACATATTCATACTTCCAGCATCCCGGACGGACCTTATCGATAAGCGGAACGCTAAGCGGGCAATTATGCGCTTTACCATTGTCGTCACACGCTAGACCTGAACGAGAGATCCGCTAACACAGCCTCGTGAGGTTAGAATGCGGAGAAGGTTCGATAAGGATCATGGATGTCTTACCCTCCTGAGTCTGACCTGATGTTCATCCGATTTTGACCATTTTGAGTCACCTTTGAAACCGAGGGATGTCAGAAGTCACTGTGGACAGACAAGAGTAAGTGGTTCATTGTGCCGAGGAAAGGCATCTACGTCATTCATACAAGATACACAATGTACTCACTACAGTCCCGAGCACAAGACCAACTTCCAGACCCATCCCCGGATACTCTTGCCTAGTGTCTACACTACTGCGGGGTGTTGAGTGGAGCCGTTACAATGGTCTTATCATACTGGGGCAAGAAATATCATGCCTAGACTACGAGTGCAAATGACCATGAACAAAACATACGATTGCTACCCGCACGGAGAAAGAGATACAGTACCACCTTGGGATAAAAAGCCTCTTCAGGTCTTGATTCCCGAACCAACGATTGTTCCGTCACGAGAGAGATGTCGAATGCCGAGTGCCGAGTGCCGTATTCCCAAGTCGCATATGCTGCTGACCATCAATCCACTTCCAAGATCGTCCCCAGTCCCTGTGGCATCCCGGCATAGCTCGTGCAATCGTGGCGGTGGTACTGCATGTCGTGCTCCGGATTGTTGGTTTTGTGAAGAATTGGCGATGTACATCCGTCAATAGAATCAACGTGGGTACATGGAAGAAATATCAAACAATCAAGTCGAAGAAGGAATTCAGATAAATGGCAATAGAAACTGGAGAAGGAATTTATCTCTCTCGAGGACCGAATCATGGTTGTCAAACTGTAGTGTCTCTTTGATTCGTAGTTGCCAGATATCCGGAACGCCCCTCTTTTGAACGTGAACAGAGAATAGGGAAGAAAAGCAAAAGTGATAAAACCGAAGAATTGCTTTTGTTTTCTGAAGTATAGAAAAAAAGAAATGGGTATGGCTGGTCAAAAATTGTCTTTTTTCATTTCCCTTGGGCAAGGGAGGGTTCTCTGCGGGGGGGACTGCTTCTCGCACAAAAAAGGGGGGGCGAGGATTCCATCTTCTATCTGAAATCTTGCTTTCCTTCAAAGAAAAAACGAGATATATTAATCCATCATCATCGAAGAACGCCACATTGCTTTCATCATCGCTCCGACCACGGGAGGTTTTTATTGCGCGCGATTATCGATACATTTACTTGCGGCGGAAAGAGCAGCCCTCAGTAAGACGGGCCTTACCACCGGTGGGCTGGCACAGGACGGTGGAGCAACCGGCGCAGACGACGACAGTCTGGGCGTGGGAGAAGACGGTGGTGATGGTGAAGCAGCCGGGGCACTTGACGTCCATGAAGAAGGAGCGGGGAGCAGGCACAAGTTGCTGTTGTTTCGCCGAAAGTCTTAGCCAATAGTTCGATGTCGGAGTATCAAATCCATTATTTTTTTCCCTTTCCATCCGGGTATCAGCATACCTTGAGCTTGTGCTTGCGGGCCTCAGCCTGAGGCGTGGGGTTGAGGAGGTCGACCGCGAGAACCTATTGATGTATCATGCTGTTAGCGAAGGTATTCCTTGACCAAGTCCGTTCGAGTAAAAAATTTCGATGGTTCGGCGATAAGGTGGCGGCGGCGACGTTAAGGCACTGAGGGGATAGCGACATGACAGTCGGTGCAGCCGGTGTGCATGCTGGACGTGGGGATGTGTTGCGTGTTGTATCGAGAGGGCTTTAGGATGGACAGGGACCTACCATCTTGACGAGACAAAAAGTCGATCAGCGAGGGAGGTTGAATGAGGGCGCTGATGATGATGGCCTGCTTGAGGGTGAAAGCAAAAAGGTGGACTCGTAGAGAGGGCGAGGATTGAAGGGAATTCTCGACGGCGTCACCCAGCCAGCCCGTTTGGGGGCAAAATAGGGTTGCAACCCTCTCGCTTACCCTGCCGCTTCAGGCAGCTGGGGGGCCCGGCCCGTCTGTTCACCCCGTGCCGCCCGCCCTCTCCGCCAATCGACTCGCGCTTAGCTCAGCTTTCGAGATCCTACCATATCCTTCAAGGTCCTTCGGTCATTCTTGAGTTCTATGTATACAGATGCATATCGATGTATTGGATACGGCTGAAAGATTCCGCTAATAAGAATGATATACGCTGCTTGACTCTTAACTCATGACTAAACAATGATTCATCCGGGCGACATGTACCCGACACATCCACCCCCGGCACAATACTCACGACATCATTATCCAATGGCGCACCTCCATGCATACTAAGTTGACTTCGCCACCTAACGCTCGCATACCACCGTCTCTATCATACACCGCAAGCCACTCCTCCATCGCGATATTACTTCCGCCATGCGACACCAACATGCGATACTCTAGTTCGTTTTCTTCGGGGCTCCGTTTGTGATAACCACCTCCACACGCGGCTGTGGATGCTTGATAGTCAAGCACCAGATGTCGACGTAGTCACATATCGTCGTGATGATATCATGCTGGATACGATCAGCGCCCTTCCGCCCACTGGAGGGATTGTCAATACTCACCACGAAACTACCATACACACCAATCGACAGACCCAAACACACCCACAGGAAAGCGGCCTGGCCAACCTCACCACCAAGCAAGCTCGACCAGACCCCGTATTTGTCGCCAACACTGTCGATTGTAGCCAGTGCGAGAGGCACCAGGAGCATGTTGAAGTATGGGAAACTGGTTTTGGTCAAATGCGCGATGATCATTCTGCCCACCGCATACGCGTTGACCAGGCCAACGTACAAACAGAACGGGATGGCGTAGTTTTCCAGGATGGTCGGCTGGAGATAGAGGTAGGCCGGAACAAAGGTCCACACGGCCACCAGCGGAAGGAGGCCGAAGAGAGGCTTGATGGGGTCTTGGCCACGCTCGCTGCGAATCTTCATGACATGCACGATGCTGGAACCGGTGGCGAAGAAGAGGAGAACCGCACCATAGACCATGTACCACTGCGTAAAGGCCATTCCGTAGAGCTGGTCCGGCAGGAAGTCTGGCTTGGGGAGTCCGACGGTCTCCAGCATGGGCTGGTGCCAGAAGCTACCCCCACCCATGTATGCTGTAAACCCAAACACAACGCAGAGAGTGAGAACACCCTCAACGGGGCCGGAGATAATTCCTAGGGTCAGTACCTGGGTGTAGTACTCGTCCCAGGTCTGGACATAGAAGGTCATGGTCGCTGCTACCGTGTCAGCCTCTCAGCGGCTCATTCCCCCCTGGAGTAAAGCACATACATCCAAAAAGAGTCAGGATCGTAGCCCATGACTGGCCGAGGTTCATAGCCGCACAGAAGATCAGGACTCCCAAGGCGGTGTTGCACGCATCGACGCCTAGGGAAAAGCACTTAGGTTCCATACTCGCTTTCATACAGCCCTAGATCGTCCAACTTACTGTGATCAAACAGCTCCCCCAGAGGGCCGCTTTGCTTCGTTCGCCGCCTGCGTGGTTCCATTTAGTGTCCTGTCTACCAGTAGAAAGAAGGGCGCGAGGGGCTTTTTCATACGCTTGGATGCCATCTACACCGTCGAACGTCTGATAGAGGAACAACCCGAGGGCGCAACTGGCATAGACCCAGGAAGGACAGTCCTGGTCTAGGGTCGGGTTGTACCATAGAATAGTGATGAAGTTGACTACCACGAAGAAGAAGCCGGTCAAGGTAATCTGCCGGTCCTCCGTTATTATGTCTCGTTCCGGCTGCAGAACGATCAGGCCAGATAACTTACAGCATTAGGACTAAGGCCGAGGGAAGAGGTCGTTAGCAAGAGGCATGCAGCCGGTGAGAACAGCATCAACAACTACTTACGCCATGCTCATCGGAAAGAACTTAATGACAAAATCATTGTAAAAGGGCTTCAGGATATAACGACTGACGAGCGAGTGGTCCACTCCTGCATAGCGATACTGCCGCAGAGCGGGCAG